ATTGATTTATACAACTAATGTCTTAAATTAGAACAACATTAAAATCGTTACACATAATTTCATTAATTTATACGAGCTAAGCATCAACCGCAATATATCACAGAGCCAAAATATTGTTATTGACCATTAAAATTTCACTGGAACAAAACAACAAATCATTGTTGTAATTGTCTATAAAAAATGGCACTAACGCCGCGGTCAATACCAGAGCTTACCTGTGCAAACTAGTGAATATAGTGTATGGCCCCTATGAGTTATTGGTAACAGCCCCTTGAGATATTTCATCGATTTTATTGTGGCTCCGATGTCAACTTTGTCTCGACTATGGCTATAAAGGAGACGGTTTTTTGCACAGTTGTATAGAATACTTTATTTACAGTAATAGTTTCTAAGATGCATTTGTCTTTGTAACCGACGACGAAAATGTAAAGTAATTTATTCAATAATCAATGTTTGTTAGTAGATCTTCATATATTTATGATCATATACTACAGGAGCTCAATATGTACGCGAAGCGAGAACTTTATATCCCTTTCTAAAAGAATTGCGCGAGCGGATGAATGTGTAGTTTAATAGACTCCAAGTTTATATAGAGAAGAGCACAAAGGAACATTTTTATGTAATATGTTTAAGAAATACATTGTTTTAATTAAAATTAACATAACAAACACTAACTTGACTGAAATATGCCTTTAGTATGTCAAATGTCAATACGTAGAGGTTCCTCAACAAATTTTCTATTGACATTTGACACTAAGGGTCAAACATCCCTACTAATATTATAAATGCGAAAGTAACTCTGTCTGTCTGTCTGTCTGTCTGCTACGCTTTCACGCCTAAACCACTGAACTGATTTTAATGAAATTCGGTACAGAGATAGAGTTGACCTTGAGAAAGAACATAGGATAGTTTTTATCCCAGACTTTTGAAAGGTTCTCTTGGAAACGCGATATAACCGAACTCCACGCGGCGAAGCTGCGGGCGGAAAGCTAGTATTACATAATGATATTTCTGTTCTACTATTGAACTTGAAATTATCAAATAACGTGTTGTGATAACGACGCAGTGAAACTAATAAAAATATTGCTTCAATTTTAAAATATTAGTATACTTATAATATCACTACTAATAAAAATTTCAAAAAATATAATTTTATATAAGTACCTATAAATACCAAAATCTAAAACAAGCCATTCACATCAACTTCAAGCTACCAATATTTAAAAGGTCATTCTATTAAACCTACAAAGGTTGTATAGTTTTCAATAAAATCACTTAACCCGTGCTCACCTGGCTTTTACGCTCCCACAGAGAAAAAAAATCAAGATATAAATTATTGCATTATGGCTTTTTGAAAGAGTCCACTGCTGCTGAGAAATGACAATATTATTAAAAAGTACGGGTCTTTGTCACACTATCTTTTTGTGTTCGATATATTGTCGCTATAATAAATGCTGCTCCTTTATGCCTGTAGCATTGTGCTCTCTACCTTTGTGGACATTATTAAATATATTTTAAAGAGTTATTGATGGTGGGCGTCATTAAGACTAAGCATTTGATTTATTTTTTCGACGCGTGTTTTGGATGTTCGCGTGATGTGTTTCAGCCATATCAAATAATTGATTTACGATTGAATCGAGTAGGTAATCCGTTTAAATTTATACACATATGGTCATTTATCATTAAAGCTGAATATATTATTATAATTATTTATTAAAACGATTAACTGAAAATATATTCAACGACTTTAATAATCAATTAATAATTTTAACCAAAAATGTAATTGTTCATAAATCATAATGGTTTTGACCCAACAACAACAAGAAAATACAAGCATAAAAAAAACATATTCAAACCTTTTTATTCAATATAAAACCTCTTTTGACATGATTAAATAATAAAAATATCATCATAGACAAGCCTTCAACCTGTTACAAATGTGTTTAGTATAAGAGAAGAATCATCGTATCGAATTCCTTGTTTTGAAACACGACTCCCTCATTTCTTGCCGGGTCTGCGATTATTACGTAAATTTTATTGTATTCATCTATAGAAGTTATTCAACACCTCGGAATCTTTTTATGAGTGTCATTGAATTCAATGTTCTTTAGTTTTTTATATGATTTGTAATTGTAATTTCATTTGTAATAACTCTTTTAGTTTCGAATCCCATTATGAATACTTAATCTCATTTTACGTAACAGTACTAAACTTACTATGATATACTTACTATGATATACTATGATATAAATTAATATCTTTTACACACAGCTCATGCTATGACGGAAGTATTGAGTAGTAATATATTAAATTACTAGCAATACTATTGAATAGAATTGTAGCGAGTTTCAATAAATAATAATATAATAGTAGTTGGCGTTTAACAAATGAATGCTACGTGCTCGCAAGCCCGGGTACGATCGGATTGATTATAGGACGTTATCGTTACGAGACTCGGGCTGGTAGCCGCTTACTTTTATTGTTGTTTTATATTTCTTATAAGTCCCTATAACGACACTTATAAGTGTTTTAGTTGGAAATCTAATAATATTAATGGCATTACCAACTAGAAACTCCTTTGTAAAATATTTGAAAGTAGAGGTTAATTAGAAGCGATTTGATAAATCAGCTTTGCTCTATTTGACTTGTTATATAGGAATAGTATATATGAAAAATATTTCAATATACGTATACTTGACAGTCTACTATTGACTATTATATTGTATGTCTTTCAACTAATTAGGTATATATTCTATTAATTATCATGATATCTATATTTTTTGATGTTGAATCAATGTTTATATAAATAGAAGAATTAAAATAAAATAAAATGATTATGAATCAGTACAATGTTCCTTATAAAACTATAGAAATACAAAGCGTTGAATATTGTTTGTATGTAGTTATATTACAGTTAGGTATAGCATTATCAAATACCAACGTAACTTTAATGGCTTAATTGGCAAATCTATTGGAACGTAATATCCTAAAATACAGGTTTAAATCTACTTCACGTCTATAAATCTATCATTCCATAATATTAATTTGAATTTTGATTACACCTTGACGACCAGACCAAGACAGAAATAATTATTCATCAGAAGAATGTATGGCCACGGTTGAGAGGATATACACTGTCACGGTAGACGACCGCGGTAAATAACTCTGTTTGAATACCTTAAAGAAACAAGCTTCGATAACCTTAAGAATCCTTACCACAATATCCTAATAAGAATCTTAAAAGAATCTTTTATCTATATCCTTAATCTTTATCTTTACTTTTATGTTATAGTGTATCCCCCTAAGACTCACGGGCCGACATCGTTTCAACATAGACCAAAATCTCAATCTCGAACTCATCTTTATTATGACGACCGTGTTTTAATACTAAGAAATGTTATTACATACAAATACATTATAAATTTAAATTTTGATCTCAATAAAATTATTATTATCTAATTATAAGACCACACAGTTTTAGGGGTGCAAATTATTAAGTAGATATAAGTGACCTGTAGACAATAATAATGTATGAGTGTTAAACAGGAACAGTATCAAGTGGCCATCGATGTTTTAATAGCGGGCCACCGTGCAAACACTTACAAACAATGATTCCCGTCATTAAGAGCGCGTGCAGCTGTGTCACCTCAACTCAAAACTCAAAGGTGAACGAGGATGTCATCGAGTGTTTATAGTAACGGCACGTGCTGGATACCACCAGCAATGTATTATAATTAATATTGTTAATAAATCTACTTATAATAAGAGTAGAATATTCTTCATTCAACGACGTAAATGAAATGAATACAGATATTCATATAAGACTATGAATATGATTCAAATTTTGTGTATAATGTACAAAGATTCGTATTTTGTGTGCATTATATATGACTTGTATGGAAATGTTATAAAGTTTACTATTAATTTTTAATTTGATTCAATTATTTTACTGTTTTGTATGAATTCAACTTCCCATACCTACATAATTTTCATTCAGACATCATGGTCATTTGGTAGAAATGATTATTTTTTCCCTAAACAATAATTTGTAATAGTGTATAAAACAACAGTAGAACAAGGAGCACCTAATACTGACTACCTAATTAACTATAGGTATTGTATCATTGTGTGATAGTTCATAGTGTGTATATCTAGTTAACCTATGTCTTAATTTAGTAAAGTAATTAAATCCATTTTCTTGATAATATAACGTAGTATTGGTTTTGAATCCAATAATACTTATAAGATACTAACAAGAAAAATAGTAGGTATTTTCAATATATGTAAACCTGTCTTCCTTCATATATCTTCGTTTTCATACAAAAGATGACTTTAGGTATGTTTTAGGACTGAAATAAAATTATTACATAGTAAAAACAACATTGAATAATCACTTTCAACTTGATATTTGATAATAATTATATGATATTTGATAATAATTATATGACGATTATCTTGTGTTGTAACGATCTGAAAATCAGTTAACAGATAGAATTATTTAAATATAGAAAAAGATTAATTTTATTAAAATATATTCTCCTTTGCCTCTGCAGTAGCGTTCCGTTACAAAACATTCCGTACAGAAAACAAATTTTGACGTAAAGAATCAATTGTATATACGAAGATTGCAAACAATCGGACAACAGCTAAATAAAATTACATACAATATCATTAAAATAAAAATAGAAGCAAAACAACAATTGATTCGAGCGTCTTTGGGTGCCGAATTTGGTGGTTTTCATGAAAAATGTGCACGGCCAACGCGGTCGATACAGACTCCCCCCCGCCCCGCAGGTGCGACGAGATAATCCAAGATGGCCGCCGAGATAGGACGTGACGTCACGCCCCCCCCCCATCCCCCACCCGGGCGCATCCTCGAGCCTTTACCACCCTCCTAAGATCCTTTCAGAAATCTACTAAGTACGGACAGCAGAAACAAATACTCGTACTAAAGTTCAATGGTATTAAAATCTTTATAATAAAAACAATATATTATTAAATCATTTTATTCTAGGTATACGTGCAGCTGGTACTTGTTTTGGTAAATGATTAGCTTTAACCTTGAAGCCGTCGACTCCGGCTATGTATTCAGTCACATAGAGCTTTCCATCATCACCGATGTAACTGTATTTCCCTTCTATCTCCATAACATAACCGTGATCACGGGTAGGCACTAGTCTTCCACGTTCAGATACTACGGTATCTGGATAAAATACAAAAAACAATTGTTATATAACTTATTTAAATCTGCATTTTCAACTAAACATATAGCTAAACGTTTATTATCGTTTAAATTATCTTGAAATACAAAAATAACATTATTTTTTAAGATAAAACACTTACTTGATTGATATGACTATGAAACATTTAATTTCTAATCCTATATATATGTATATAAAATGTAATTTATGCCATGTAAAAAGTAAATATTAACAAGCAATAAGAGATATTAATAGCATTATTTTAAAGCATTTCAAGTTATCAATATAAATAAATATAAATACATAGTATAACATTAAAAGTACTTACTCTCAGCGGTGATAAACCTCACAGCATATTGACCGAATTCGTCTCTAACTTGTTCATAGCTGATCGCTGGGGAGAGCCTCAAGGCTACGACGGCATCATACCTCTTGGTTGACTGAGGAACTGGTGAACTTAAAGCTGATATGACGCAGGATACAAACACTAGAAGTAGCTATAAAAAACAATATTAGATATATGACCAATAATAAATATATATCGTCTCAGATTACCACATGAAAAGACTTTTTGGTTTACATAAACTACAAGTAACAGTTTAATTTATATAATATACAGTGAAAACAAAGTCCTATAGCCGTTTTCTTAGAAAACAATTATAGTTATTTTTCTTTGTCTAATTATATGATAATATCTTACCGATCTCATTGTTCTTTCTTACGACCGTGTTGAATTAATGTACCTTTTTATACAAGTTCCAGTTTTAAATAGCCCAAACAAATATGCATATAATTAGTGTTTTAATTATATTAAATTTGCAAACAAGTTGAACTAGTACAAATAATTTGTATCAATAAAAATATCATTAATGATTTATAATAAAAAAAACATGGTTTATTATTAATTACATATATAATTTATTTGTTTTTATTTATTTTTTGTGCTGGCAACTGTACCGGGTGTCGCTATATGCTGTGAGCTATGTAAGAGGTTATCTTCGTAGTCGGGTGCTATCTAAATCTGTATAATCGTCCCGCAAAATAATTATTATTACATACAAACATGTTACACAGACATTCAAATGAATTTCAATAAACGACGTTATGTGATAAGTGATTTGGAAAACGGTACTAACATAGGCTATAATGTAAAAACAAATAATAAAGTTTAATGTATTCAATTTAATATACGCGAGTGACATAACAGTCATTGACAATTGACTGTAACAAAAATCGCTTAAAGCGCTTTGAAGGGCTTAATCCAAAAGATCCTGAACAAAGGACCCTTGAAGTACAGTAACGGAGCTCTTAAGAGGTGATGACTTCACAGCCTGCTCTATCTGTCATCAGTAAACTTAAGCTTTGAACATTCTAGGTGAGTGTTCTAGACTATAGAGGTGACGTTTTGAAATTACATCAATGAATGAAAATGCTTTCATTTTGTATTGTTTAACGTGTATTTTATTGAATAACGAATGTTATTCAATTACATGTTATAAATGTACAAAGTTATTGCTTTAAATCGAGATAAATTAAAAGCTTTCTTATATAATTTAATATAACATACAAAATACTAAAAAACATTTTTGCAATATACGCTTAAATAAAGCTGCTTTCGGATTTTACTCAGTCGTGGAAAAATATTATTTAGTCTTGTTCTGTCCTAACTTTATATATAATACTGTAAAAGTACGTAAGATGGTATCGGAATAATATGCAAAAAAAAAATTAAAACATTAAAAAATAGAATCGGAATATAAAGTTTTACATACAAATTTTTTTTGCTTTATATAGCACATATTTTAGATCGTTACAGGCCTGTAAAATAGTGAATTTACTCTTTTCGGATTACCTGATTTAAAATGTTTAGAAACAAAATCTTAAAAAAACATATTATAAAATTAATTTAAACAATATGATCAAACTTTAACTTGATATACCTATTAGATCGGCTGTATGGCTGTATGCTAGCAAGTAATTAGGCGACGCACGAGGGAGGAAGAGGAAGCGCGCCGGAGATGAAGCCGCGATACAATATCCGGTTAGACGCCATTTCCGCCAGCAGACGATGTGTGAGCCTTTAAATGTAGTTTTATTTTTTTATATTAGTCCTTGACATATTAATTACAATTTCTAACTTGTATTGTATAGAAACAAAAAACATTTAATCCTTAAATATTCAGTGAATACAACACAATAAATGTCGTATTTGATATTCATTACCGTTGTTAACAGTGAGAGCAGCGCGCGAACATCGAAACCAAATGTAGTTTTTCACCCCAACCCCATATAAACCACAAACAAATAAAAGTCGACTTCTGTAATGTGTGTTGTTGGTTTTCTTGTTATAGCGCAATATTCGTCTCATGCATCTGTTACGATATGTTAATTGTTGGTAATAAAATAATTTAAATATTAATTAAATTGTGAATAAACATATAAGATAAAAATATAAAATCTATCTTACTATTTTAATACAATGATGTATTTATTTAGATTTAAAAAAAATGGTTTCTTTATGTCATGTCAGCCATATTTAAAACGTCACTCCCCTGTCACTTTAGACTCGTGAGTACGGAAATGTGAATTAGCGCGGTTTGTTCTATGAGTATGGCGCGTGCGCCTGTTCTATGAGATGACGCCTCACCTATCACTGTTATTTGTGTATTAAACACTATTCTATTATATTCGGAATATACTGTTATATTGAATTTTTCTTCTTCGTTTTCAGTTAGTTGCGTTTCCTTATAGATAATTCGTTAAAGTCTAGTGAATTTAAATTACATTTAATCCTTATTGATTTAACATAAAAAACGTATAAATTAAATTCAATTTCTACATATACATATATAGTTCATTATTTAGTAATTTTTTAATATTTTAACAAAACCTATGAAAATACATTAAGAAATAATTAAGTTTAAAACAAGTTTTATGAGTTATTAACACGTATTAAGGAATTTTAATATATATTTTTAGAAGCAAATAATATAATATAATTCTCTGTATATTTTTAACCAATTCAACAGATAAAGTTTACCCCTCATATAAATCTGATTTACTGTTCAGATTCCATCTCTGGTTTCATTACATCAACCCCGGTTACACAATAGAGACCGAGAGAATTTCAATATTATTGACTCGAATAGATATAACATTATAATTATAAATTAATTTAATTTGTAAAGAACCTCCCAAAAACACTATTTGTACGTCCTAAGTATAAACATGAAAATTGTGTCATAAAATGTTCATTAAAAAATTCTCTAATTAATGGCACAAAGATTCATACTGACGGTAAAATTCTAGGTAAAAGACAAAATTTTATTTCAATATAAAATTTTAAAGTGCCCTAATCATTGATAGTAATAAGCCACGTTGAAAGATAATGAAGTGAAGTTTTTACTTTGTTAGATTCGCGTTAATCATACAAACACAATTACATCTGTTATTTAAAGCTAAACTATTGGGCTCATGACACCCTCGCCGTCCCAGGCCCATTTAACCCCCTGATCATAAAACGAACAATAACATCCTTCTCCGAGGGTGGCCGAAATCTGATTGCAACCGTTTAACAGCCCCACTTTAGACCAAAATTAAAGGGATTCTGCATTGATTTTTGACGGAAACTCCTACGGTATTCACAATGATAATTTCATTTAATTAGCTATATTTATGAATTGAATATTAGCTGCATAAATAACGATAGACATGTGAGTATAAAAAAATGTATTGTTTTAACAATTTTTTGTATAAAAATTAGGAGCATAAATGTAGACTTTTCGAGCAGAGTTGAACCCTTAATCGGCTCAACAGTCAGCCGAAAATCCATAAATCAATCAAACTTTGAAAACAAAGATCATAATTTTAACACAACGACTCTTCTGGAAAACTTAAATTACTCTTTTTCCGCATAACGAGCGCAAAGAATCTTCTTGACGGGCTGAGAAATTGATGATGTGAAAAAAGTGGCGAGCCGAAATCCGGAGAACTTTTTACGTCAGTCGAGTTTCACTTAAACGAGTTTTTACATCCATTTGGAAGTTGCTCGTATACGACAGCCTGACAAATTTTAATGAACGTAAGCGGGCCGCTAATGTCTGCGACTCGGGTAATGGGAAAACTTCGAAGCCTCCGCCCCGAACTCTGAATTCCCTCGGGATTTTTGCTTTAACACACCAACTTATGGTTGTTTTAAAAGACATTAGGAAAAGTCAGTGAGATAATTATTTCAAGCATATTAATATGTATCAAATTCATATCCGAACGATCGCAGCAGTTCGTTCCCAAGGCGCAATAAGTTTGTAACATTACACCGGCCATTGAACAATAAAATGCGCAATCATTTTGACGTGTGCCATTTCAACTCTTTTCATTATTAAATGACGATATCCATTACATTATAAATTTTGACGTGGTCCTCGTATGACCAGCACAAAAAATTGGGGACCACATGATTGTAATTTAAACGTCTAACCCCAGTAAAGGCGTCGGTGCCATCCATCATACGCTTTACATATGTTTGAATAAAGCTCGTGGGAAAAGGATTTCCTCTCAGAAGTCAAAGCGGCATTCTGCAACTATGGAGGGTGACTAACATTTTCCACCTTTCCTAGGCCGTCATATATATGACTTTTGGAAGATTATATTTCTATTCTTGATATTTAATTTGTAATCACAATATTACATGACGTAAGAAAATAGAACCTAAAAATAAACTTACACTAACGCTATATTCAAAATATTGGCCTATAAATATTTCACACAAAATAAATGTTTAAATCAGTGTGCCATTTTAATTCAAAAACTTTGAGGTTTAATATTAGAAAAGTGTGGTCATCCTACACACAAATAGCGGATTAGGGCAGTTTAGCAAACAAGGCGTCACTGGCGTGTGGCACCCTACATAATGCTGTATTAATGTCTATTAGTAGCCACGCATTGTTCTCTAAGACTCGACGATATATTTTCCTAATACGACGTGTTAATCTCGAGCTTTTCACGAAAGGCAATATAAACAGTGTCAAGTAGCTATCAAGTAACAACACTTTTATACTTGATCGAAATATTATTTATTAGGACATTAATGCATATTAAAACAGGAATTTTAACATTTGTTCTTTTACCGTCATACGTTTTATAAACATCTCAAAATAGTGAAATAGTTATTACGTTTTATGATACTGTTAGAATAATACTCACACACGTATAGAGTCTTTGGAAATTAAATATATGTTTATAAATCATTAGTTGAATCTTTACACTTAATACAGGAGACAAAAAATGCTTTGACTGGTATATTGTAAAAACCAACGCTTCTTTAATGCAGTAAGTAAATTGTAACGTTTTTGATGCTGAGAAGGATTGCATTTAAATACTCAATTTAAGATTTAAATATATTATATACTCTATCATATCACATATTCTAGAACTTTTTAAAATTATTTTTAATAGGTATTTTATAAGGTGGTGAAGTTAAATGCTTATTTATCAACAACTCTTTAAAAAATACATATATGGAATATGGATCTGGTTTAAATGATGTAATACTTTAAACTAAGCTGGATTTATTAGATATTAGAATTATAATTATTTGCTCCTTAGATTGTTCATAATCTTCGACTTATGCACACAAGACTGGAAAAGTTAATGAAAATTATATCATTATAGGATTCCGCAAGAATCCCATTACCGGCGTTTCACTTTACACTTCCTGCTCATTCGTGTGCAATCTGTAGTGTGCAAATCCGTTAATCTTATTTGGCGGGTAGTCAGGGCGCACGTGGCGCCACGTGGCTGCAAATCGAACTAATCTCGACGCCGTACGCGCCAACGGGCGGAGCGCGTGCGCCGACCCGATAAGGCCAAGAAATGCCATTCATTCCCATTCTTTTGTCGCGAACAATCACATATTTATTTATGATATTTGCTATGACTTGTAACCTGCCAACCCTATGTGGCGCACGGCTCAAGTGAAGCAATGGAATGATACTATGTATCGCTAAGTTCTAATAAAAACTTTGTTAGAACGCACTAAAATATTATGTTTTAATTAAACCAATGATTATATCGTATTCACAAAATTGCAAACTGAACAGATCCATACTAATATTATAAATGCGAAAGTAACTCTGTCTGTCTGTATGTCTTTTACGCTTTCACGCCTAAACCACAGAACTGATTTTAATGAAATTTGGTACAGAGATGGAGTTGACCTTGAGAAAGAACATAGGATAGTTTTTATCCTAGACTTTTGAAAGGTTCTCTTGGAAACGCGATATAACCGAATTCCACGCGGGCGAAGCTGCGGGCGGAAAGCTAGTTTCTAATAATTCTTTATGACTGTACTGCATTTTTGTAAAATTATATATTTGAATGCCAAATATATGTAACATATATTACTAGTTTTATTACAAACAAAATATTATTTTTCCTAAATAGCTACAACTATTAAAAATGTATCTCATTACCACACTTGGAAACAATTTGCTATCTGAATTTTATCATTGTTTTACATCTATAAAACTTTAACATTATTTTTTTTACAAATTATGCAATCTTATTATTTTATTCTATATTTTTCTTAATACTTCTTTGTAAACATTTATCTTGTTTATTTTAATTATTTTAATTATTTTATATAGGTGGTTGACGTGAGTCTGTTTGCCACCTTACGATCTGAGGCTCTGCGAATGCACAGTATACCACTAATTAAAAATAAAGAGCCCAACTGAAGAGAGAATGGTCCTTTTGTAGGGCAGCCGTGAGCTGATAGGCGGTAGTGCGTCCTTTTCAGGATAATAGACCAAAATAGCTCTCCTTGTTTTCTCCTGCCCAAGCAAGGAAGTATGCATAAAGCATTTTCCAACGCACGAAGAAAAAGATTTATAAACATATATGGTCTCAATTAAAATTTCATTTAATACTAGCTGACCCGGCAGACTTCGTACTGCCTCATTCAAGAAAGAAATTATATCTTATTTATTTTTTTGGTGTTTACCTTTAAGCCATAAATCTCCGTGTTCTGAAGTGCGACAAAATGATTGACATATTAGTTAGTTGTCAAATCTAATGTCAAAAAACCGTTTGTATGGGAAATAAAAAAGCGCTGTTTTTAGGGTTTTCCCGGAAATTAATAAAAAAAATTCAGCTTTTAAACTTTCCCTGAACGTCCACGAACATTTCAAGACTATGATAAGATAAATCCGTTCAGTCGTTCTCGAGTTTTAGCGAAACTAAGGAACAGCAATCCATTTTTATATATTATATAGATATAGATATATAGATATAGATATAGAAGATATAAACCCGATTAAACGTTATTCTGTCAATTTAGTTTTTTATTTGTATGATAAGAAGATATACACTTTCTACACGACGCTGGCAGAATATATTGTGCGCGTCTTTGCACGCCTTGAAGGCCATATTTTAAAAAAGAAACAACCAAAAAAAAGATATACATAATTTTCTAGATGTATTTTAATATGTTGTGAATGTTACTTGTATGTGTTACTTTCAAAATATTTCTAGCTAATAATTTAATATGGCTCAAACACCTAGAAGCGATAAATGTGCAATAGAGGAAGGGAGAAACGTCAGCGTCGAATTGACATTTAGACTTTGACAGACAGTTTCAATATTGTTAATGACTCATAATATTTTTGTTTCTTTAAAAGTTAACTACGTATTGCATAAATAAGAAATAACAGTTAATTAAATTTTATTAATAATATAACTTTTAAATTCATACTTTCAACTCTAATTCTTGCTTACAAGTATGGTGGAAGAAGACGAATATGCTTGTGTAAATCGAGCTCAACTGAAGATCAAAGATAATTCTGGAATAAAGAAGAAGAAGAAAAAGAAAGCTAGCAAAGAATCACAAAAGGCTATTGAAAACGAAGTAAAAGAACAAATAAAGTTACAAAAAGTGAATGTACCAACCAAAACTAAAGCAGAATTAGCATTTCAGAAAATGCAGGAAAAAATGGTATGAATGTGTTTTTGTAAAAAAATATTATCATAAATAGTTTTAAGGGCCAAAAACATTCAAAATTATACTTATTTAATTAGTGTAACTTTTGTATAATTTTAAAATTACTAATAAAATTAACATATATTTAAAATATGAATGTTTCCAAAGGGGATCAATTCTCAATTTTAAGGAGCTTCCTAGTTATAAAATAAAAATTTCGTTTTCTTATGATCATGGTTGCTGCAAACTAACAATGACATCAGGAGTATGTAAAGAGACAAAACCTCTTAGTTTTAAATGAATACTTGCCATAGTATTAGATTTAAAAGAGAATTCCAATTTCTAATGTGTCACTGTTTCTTGATACTTAAATTCATCATAATTGTCCTGTCCTGTCCTGCATAGAAAGTAGTTATTTTACTGTCAATTCAACACCTTTTCAATAATTACATTATGTATTAACTATTATTTTCAGCTTGAGTTACTTAAAAATCTTTATCTGATGCTGTTCAATGTATCAGTTTATATTTAGTATTATCAAAACACTGTTCACATCTTCGTGAGGTTATAAATATTAATAGTTTTTGCTGGCAACCTGGTCTGTGTTAGTTCAATATTAGAAATTTATAGCTGATTGAGCAAACTCTATTCCTCCATAAAGGCAGTAAATAAGATTTTGGATTTGATTACCTTATTTTTTTCTTTTTCAATCAGATTATAAGTATCCTAAGTCTTTTTCCCAGTTCTAAGCTACCACTACACCAATAATCATAAAATCTATACATGGCTGTATAAATCTTGAGTTATAAGTAGTGTAATACAACTTTCTTCTATACAGGGTGACTGGTGAATTACTATCAATATTTAAGGAGAATACTCGGTACATGATTCTCATTTGAATTATGTAAAAAAAATAGGTACTTAATTTTTGACCAAATTTCCGTATAAATAAATTAAGTGTGTCCAAGTGTTCCAAGTGTAGACGCGTGCGGCGACGTGCTGATACAACACCACGCGGCCGCACGCGAGTGTTTGTGTGTGTGTGTATACCTAATCTGTAGGCTGTTCACACCATGCGTAATTAATTACATAACTTTTGGTTAACTTTACTGAGAAGTTTATTAATATTTATGTTATATTAATTTTTATTTTGTCATATATGATCGTCAAATATCACGACCTCAAGTATCGATAGTAATTCACCAGTCACCCTGTAATATATTAAGAGTACTTAAAATATCACAAAATGTGAAAAAATTGCATATCACTAATGTATATCAATAATTTTTATTTTCAGCAAAAACAAAGGATTCTTCAAAAGGCGGAGATGACACACAAACAACGGGTTGAAAAGTTCAATCAACATCTGGATAGCCTTACGGAACACTTTGATATACCCAAAGTGTCTTGGACAAAATAAATATAAATTGTATGAAGAAATTTATAAGACCAATATTAAGTCGTATTTTGTAATAATAATTATAAATTAAGTTCTTTACTATGCTAGCATAAAGCATTTTCATTAATATAAAATTTGATCTACCATTTCATACTTATTGCATTATTCACTAAAGCTAATGTAGATGTAGAGAAAATAAATGTAGAGATCTAATGTTTATTTGGGATGTAATAAATAAAAAAACATATTTATGTTGTTTAATTTATTTTATTAAACAAAGTAAATAATAGTATTGGACGGATTTGGATAGTAATTTTGGACGGAATTATATAGAGATAAATCTATGTAAAATAAATTTAAATACTACAAGTACATTGAAACCTATCAAACTATATAAAAAAACCATTTCATACAATTATGTAAGGCACAAAATTACAGACATCTTTTTGAGATTACCACTAATTATAAACTATTCTTTGTTTTACACTACACCTGCTTAAGAAATAATTTTAAAATATATAGAAGAAAGTTTTTCTTACTAATTTGAATTAAAAATTATAAAATTAAAAATGGGATATCTTGAAAATATTTCTATTAAAAATTCACTTGCTTTTAGTAATGGCAGGTACTTTAGTAGACATTTAGCTTAAATTGCATAATTTTTTAGATTAAATTATAATAAATCATTTCAATAGAGATAATTTTTTTCTATAATCTGTTTAGCAAGTTGGAAAGTTTACAAGATGCTGTTCATTTTTCATTGCTAATTTCTTAATTGTTTAGCCTTCAATGAAATTCTCAGAAATTAGTATTATAGTCACATTTAAATTATAAGTTATTTTGCTAAAAAAGTCATAGTAGCAAACATACAAATAAAAAAATCTACAGCTCTTGCTTGTCATGAAAATTCATTCTACATTTGTTTCAATAAGTCAGCCATTACTCATATAACACTTCACTTACATAATAAAATTCTACATTAACCTATCAGAAAAATTAAGATTCTTCCAGATATTTATACCAATTACTAAAGCTATGAGAGGTAAAAACATTCTTATGGTGGCTGCACCATTGCTTCTCCAAAATGAGTAAGCAAAGTTAAAGACTTTAATATAATTTTCTTTGGTTGACCAGGGGTCACTACCATCATCAAAATGCATGGGACATTGATCCCTCTCCCTCTCATATTCTTCCATTTCAATAGCCACAGCTGCACCCTCTGTGTAATTCCACGATGTTACATCTTGATTCAAATCGCAGTATGGACCAAGAGCTTGAGACATAAGAACTCTGAAAAATATTGTTTTCATGATATTAATAATAAAAATATAGAAGATAAAAAGCTTTCACATATAAATCTTAATATAGGATAGTATTGGAATATATTTAACAATGTTATTGTTGAGATCAAACTTACAATTTGAAAACTTACTAATGACAAACTACATACATACAATCATAGCATATTATGTATACAGTTATATAATAAAAGATATATGTACCTGTTGAGATCAGCTCTTTGGTAAACCCAACATCTATATTTTGAGAAGGGATCCAGTTCATCATATGTGATCAAATAAGACTTCAAATTCTCCTTCCAAAATCCGATACATTTCATTTTATAATCTGGGTCACTGTAAATATCAACTGGTCGTCCCAAATGGTCCACAGTTAAACAATAATTCTCTTTTATTTGTATGGTCTTTTGATCTACATCACATACAGAAAAGTCGCTTATGTTCAATTTGCAGTACAAGTTCGGACGAGGACTTAAAGTTACTCCACCGAGTATCCTAGTCTCGAATTTAACATCTCCTCTTTGTGTGAAATTAAATTTGCCGGCAACGGGACATCTTATAGGTGAGGGATCTCTCTTCAAGAATAAATCGTAACGCCATTTCTGTTTGTTAGGAAATTGTACCCATGAGCAGACTGTGTGGAAATTACTTTGTATCATGGCTAGACCTTTGCGATATCTGAAATATTCAATTATTTTTTACGAAAACATTTATATAAATTTGTTGGCCTCACTGCTTGGCTTTTTTTGCCTAATTGAGGATCTGAATCAAGATTTGTCACATAAGAATACACTTAAAATAAAGACTACACAACTGCTTTAGAATTTTCAGTACATACAAAAAAATATTCAGTGAGTACTAATAAACAAAGCTCTCAATGTATTACTTAAGGTTTTCTAAACAAATAATAAAATAGTTGAAGTTAGCTTTACTGTATAGGATTTTCGTATTGGACATATTTACCTTATAATATTATGATGTTGAGGTACAAAGTCAAAACACACGTAATCTTTTTGACAACCATCAACAGTAAGGCGGGCCATCATAACACGACTATCACGTTGCTCCCTGAAACAATTAAGAATTTATGTTGGTGTTGGAATAAATATTAATTATAGAAGTAGTCTCAATAATAATAGATCTAAGACTTCGATGAGTATGCATTTAAATGAAAGTAATATTTTCAGGATTACTACGCGTATTTTATTAATTTAAAAACTAAATACTCTAGACGTTTTGCTTACTTTGCAGAAAATGTGACAGGAAACATCTCGTCTGATTGTAGTCCGAAAAATATTAGTTTCTTTTAAGTAATCTCTAGTTCTAAATACATACATTTAATAACAACTTCATTATTTCTATTATTACACACTATTTAAATAAAGTATTAAACATACCTGCACACATATATTGTCCTTCTGTATCTTCCTTCATCTGGATAATAAGTTTCAATAATGTGAGTCTCATTGATAAACACATCAGCATCAATATTAGCTGTATTGATCCAATCTCCGGAAAAGTTTTGAGGCAAACGGCATCCTGGTTCCACTACTTCTGCCTGAAAATATTTGTGAAAAACATACACACAAGTTATTACACACAGAACCAAGAATTATTTAAAACTTTGTCGCAAGTGATATTTATTTATTATTTTGTATAGAAAATATATATAATGAGATCAAGATTTTCGCAAGTTTTATTCCTTTAAATGAAACTGATTTTTCGGATTTAATACTCGACTTTATTATTGTAAAAAACTTGCACCAGTGATCACGGTTGATGAAAAATAGCCGAAACGTCGAGAGAATGTAGTTTTTAACAAAAATAAAGTCGCGTAGTATAATCCGAAATATATTACTTTCATTTTAATAGAAAATATGTTATAAAATATTCTCATTATAATTTCTATATTCCGGAAGTTGTAATTCAGAATCCTGTTTGTGTATGAATATATAATTGTATATTTTGTAATAGAAATTCAATTCAAGTATTTACTTAAAATTGCTTTAATGACTGAAAATGTTATACTTAAACATTTTTATATATTCTACCTTCACTGGTGTTATTCTGTATCTCTCCGGCGATTTTTCGACAGTTTTCAAAGTGTTGCATTGAGGCGTTATTGATGCACCGATATAAAGATCATCGTCCCTATTCTTAAGGAAGCAACGGTACCTTTCATCTTTACGTGACTCCTTTGTATTCGCAACAGCAAAGAAGTGGTTCTTATCAACAAACCAATGACCTAAAACATTTAAAAGATTAAAATTATCTTTAGTTATTATATTACTAGCTGATCCCCGCGGTGTTACCCGCGGATTTCCGGGATGTAAAGTAGCCTATATGTTGTTCCTGGATGTCAGCTTCCTGTATACAAAATTTTATCAAAATCGGTTCAGCCGTTTGAGCGTGAAGAAGTAACAAACATACACACACACTCACAAACTTTCGCAATTATAATATTAGTAGGATTAATTTAGTTTAATAATATTATAGCAAAGTGGATGGAAGTGTTTAAGAAATAAATGTTAATAAATTTTGCAGAAATCACAGAAAACAGTACTTACCTAGACAGCTATATTCAACAACACCTTCAAAAGTACCAGACATACCGGGACATTCCTTATAAGTTATATTGAACTTCTGGTTGGTTATAAGAAACTGGGTACCAGCTGTTTGACATGATTTAATCTGAGCTCCTGGGTGGTTACATTCACCGGTGAATCGGAAACGATTCTGATAAGCAAATTGCCATACACCTTCAAGCGAAGACCTGCAGTTAACCTGAAGTCAGTTGAAATTTTTTTTTATTATTATTTCACTAATTAAAACTACTATAATAAAATAAATTAACCAAGATTATTGCTTGATATTTTCCTAAAGGAAACCTGTTTTTTGTTTCAAGTAAAAAAAATCATGAATGTTAATTAAAATACGAGTTTACAAATAGTAGGAATGAACCAAAAAATGAGTAATTCTGATAAATAAGATTTTTATATATAATGGAGTACATTTTTTCAATACAGATTGTAAGATACAAAACAAAGAAGTACTAAGTTAACATGTGGTAACAAAGTAATCAGAAACATAAATACTAAAAAGGTTTTGATTTTCTTAACAAATAACAAGGAGGATTTTTAATCATTATTTTTTGTTTTTAAATTAGAAAGGGTTATTACTTACAGGAACTGAATTCTCTGAGAACAATGTTATCAGAGATTGATCATCTTTAAACTCTTTGCACACTCTTTCTACTGAAGGCTCTTCATCAGGTGGCAGATTGACACAGGGTGTTTCAATTTTTTCCAAAACATTCACAGTTCGAACTATTAACTTGACACAGTAATAGCACTTAGAATGTTGAAAAACCATAGTATAGTTTACATGATAATCTGCTTTAATATTAACACATGTTCCCCTGCAATGAAATCACACTTTACAATTGATGACTGCTCTTCTTCATGTTAAAGGCTAAATTAATGATTATTGTACTAAGATTTCATTTTACCTTCCAGTCATTTCACTTGCATTTATATCGGTTATCGTCTGCTGTCCATTTTCAAAAGAAAACCAAGTATTTCTAAGAACCACTGGAATTGTGCATTCTGCCGAAACTTGTGTAACTGCAAATAACAACAAAGTTATTGGGCGTATCCTTAACCATAATTATAATTTCTTTTTACAAACCACTTACGTCCATCTAAAATAAATATCACACAAGTAACTATAGCTAAAATTGATTTAAGAACCATTTTAATTTATCATTTAGTTAGATATTCGGTAAAAAGTTATGAAATTCATACGAAAAGGTAACTTAGCCAGTTTGGCGTGTGAGTAATAAATTGCTTTTAAACAACTTTTAAATTTTAATAGTAACTGTCATTGTCAAAGCTTTTGCTACATTTTTATTTCCTAAAAATATAATTGTAAAATTGTATCAATAAATCTTGTATTTATTTGTCTAATAATATTTTAAGAAATTATTTTACTTGTTCTACCTAATTAATAAATAATAAACTAACAAGACAGGTATATATTAAGTAACGTTTAATTAGAAAAATGTAAACGTTAAAATACCTATATATCTAGACTAAAAAATAATTTAATATAATCTATTTAAAAAGTGAAATAAGTTTCAGCAAGATTTTATATTTTAAAATTTCGCCATGGTAAAAAAATGGAGTTGTCGAAAACTTGTTTTTGTTTTTATATAATTATTATACGTTGATATTTATAGTAGTTATAACTGTATATAGTCAGTTTTTAAAAAAAACTTAAAGAATTAATATTCAGCTAAAATATTCTCAAATTTTATTAAGACCCTAGCAACATCTATCGTGTTGTATTGATCGAGCCAATAGATTTTCGCCAAAATATTTTACTGCAGTCAGTTGCGTAGTTATTCGCTACTTCAATGGGTGGTACTAAAACCAAAGCTACCCATTGATTACTGGTTGACGTCACGTCAATCAACGTGAATCATTATTGTCAAAACATAATCCCAAAGCATAATACAGTATTTCTTCAAAAATGTCTTCAATGGTAAGTACTACAACATCTTATATATTTTGCATCATAAGATCAAGACACCATAACGTAACCCTACGATCGATAATGTTACTTGAATTTTTTTTTACCATCCCAGTAAATAAATAAATAAAATTCATATACAACTCAGATAGAATTTATTGTTTTAATTTAATTATAGTAGAAAAGAATACATAATTGATTTGTTTGTATAAAAAAAAACGTTCATTCATAATTATTAATTTTAATAACTGACAAACTTAAGGTTATTATAGTAAGTAAGTGTATTAAATAACGTATTTTTTTTTACAGCGCATGAAGGCAGCCAAATGTCCATCAGACGAACTGGCAATCACCAACTGTGCTCTAGTCAACCCCGACGATTTCCACAGTGATGTAAAGTGAGTAGATAATTAGAATTAATTAGTAAACATTAATCATTATTTTTCTATACCACTCTATGTCTATACTTTTTAAGGAAACATTGTATATTAAATTTATATTTTAAGTTATAAATCTCTGATTTAATATGATGTGTGTGTAATAATATTTCTTCAGATACCAATATTATATTTACAACATTTAAATACGGCTATTGAATAATAATTTATAATTTTTTCATCTAAATGTATTTTTATATTATTTCAGGCATATCGAGATATCAACAGCACCATCTCAACACTTTGTATTCAGTATAAGATTTTACAGTGGTGTTGATAGAGGCACTGTGGGATTTTCTGCTCCACAAAGAAAATGGGCTACTCTGTCTATTGGACAGGTGAATTTTTAATTATACAATTACTATTTCAGTAATAACTTAAAGTGCCTTAAATATTATAGGAAGGGTAGATTATTAATTACTGTTTAAAAGCCAAAAACAATAATGGACTTTGTTCTTTATAGTTTCAAAGATAGTCTTTAATGAAAATACAGACAATGAAAATTTCATTCTTTTTGTTTGTAATGCCAATTCGTTCTATACCCCTTTTTATATTAGGGTTGGTTTATTGAATGTATAAATATATATGTGGTTTAATTATTGAATGCTAAATTTCCACAGACTATTGAAGTCAAACCATTCAAGCCACAGAGTGCAGAATGTTTGTGCAGTGTCACTCTGGAGGCTGATTTTATGGTTAAGAAAACGTAAGTTGTGTTTGTAATATATTCATAATTCTTGTAATAAATACAATTCAGAGACAAATTTCAAAAAACTTTTCAGTACCAAGACAACAAAATGTAACAATTACACTTAAAATTACTAGTAAAATTTCATTGTGATAATGAAAGTAATATGTATAAGTTTTTTAACATACATATTTTTAATGTTTTTGTATGTGAATAGAACCTCCATGGAGCCCTATGATTCCGAGCAGATGGCCAGAGACTTCCTCATCCAGTTCTCAAACCAAGTGTTCACCGTTGGACAGCAACTTGCTTTCTCATTCCAAGAGAAAAAAGTGCTGTCTTTGATTGTCAAGAACTTGGAAGGTAGCTATTATGTATAAGTATAAATTTGGAAAAAACCACATACAAAGTAGTTGTTAGGATCCTGTATGTAAGATATATGCATTCTGGCACATTGCAACAGTTAAGTCTATGTGATACAAAAATTTTTCATAACATTAGTAGTTAAACGTGAATATGCCATCAATCCATTATACCTTATGCCATCCACAAATATTACAGTATACTAGTATAAGTCCTGATTTGTGCTAGTATACTGTAACAGTAAACATTCAGATGAAAACCTTTGAGCCTATTGGCTAAAGTAAACACTATAGGAGAAAAAAAACAAAAGTCTAATACTGGCAGTTAAAAACTTAAATGCGATATTATTTTTAAGTTAAAAAAAATGATACTGGCACATAAAATTCTATTTGACCATAAAAAAAAATTCAATATACAGGGTGACTGGTGAATTACTATCGATACTTGAGGACGTGATATTTGACGATCATATATGACAAAATAAAAATTAATATAACATAAATATTAATAAACTTCTAAGTAAAGTTAACCAAAAGTTATGTAATTAATTACGCATCGTGTGAACACCCTACAGATTAGGTATACACACACACACACACACACGCGTGCGGCGGCATGGTGTTGTATCAGCACGCTGCCGCACGCGTCCACACTTGGAACACTTGGAACGTGTCCACACTTTATTTATTTATACGGAAATTTGGTCAAAAATTAAGTACTTATTTTTTTTACATAATTCGAATGAGAATCATGTACCGAGTATTCTCCTTAAATATTGATAAGTAATTCACCAGTCACCCTGTATTTTACCTTTTCTTTCTGTTACCTTTCAGCGGTGGATGTACAAGCATTGGCTGCTGGTTCGAATGCTGTGCCTCGTCGAGTTCGTTTGGGCCGTTTGCTACCAGATGCTTGTATACAGTTTGACAAGGCTGAGAACTCCTCGCTCAACCTCGTTGGAAAAGCTAAGGGGTACTCACTTATAATATTGTATAATATATTTAAATTTACTTAATATAACATAATTTTTTAAACTGATTTGATCATAGAACTTGGAGTTCCAGAGTTCCATAAATAACAATTTAAATCACAAAATAAGCTTCGTTTCTAGTGTCAGCTTTAATATGAATCAAATTTTAGCATATACTGGCTAAACAAGTACTAATTAAATAAAAGCAGTTTCTTATAGGCCTTTTGACATCCTAAGTATAAACGTATAATGCTTTACTTTATCAACCAACTATGAATAAGTTTTGTATTTATTTAACTTCAGTTTTACAACACTAATCAAAATCATTACCATGAACTCATTTGTTGATTCCAAAATCATTGAAACTGCAATCGAATGAATTTCTATTACGATAATTATATAATTAAATGTTATTAAATAATAATAGGAAGCAACCTCGTCAGTCTATCATAAATCCTGATTGGGACTTCGGTAAAATGGGCATTGGTGGTCTAGATAAGGAATTCAACGCCATCTTCAGGCGAGCGTTCGCATCACGAGTTTTCCCACCGGAAGTAGTCGAACAATTAGGTAAATAGAAATAGAATTTATATATATAGTCATAAACAAAGACACATTTTCTTTCACACAAAGATACATTTTCTTTCAATTTTAATTGACTGTCTAAAAATTAAACATTATTATGTAAAATTCAGGTATGTACCAAAAATTGTTAAATATATTTCTGTCGTTTTATATTTGCATAACTTGCAAATTTTATCTTCATTGTTTATATATTACTAAGATTCTTTCTTTTTACAGCTATGTCAAAGTAATAGGGTTTTCAATTTTATATTATCAGTTAATTTTTTTAATTTATTTTTGATGTTGTCAGTAACAACAAAATACAGCTACATTTTCCAATAACATATTTAAATGAATTCTAAATAACTATTTTACTTTAGGTTGCAAACACGTGAAAGGCATCCTGCTGTACGGCCCGCCCGGTACCGGTAAAACTTTGATGGCGCGACAGATCGGGAAAATGTTGAACGCGAGGGAGCCAAAGATCGTTAACGGTCCCCAAATATTGGACAAATACGTCGGCGAGAGTGAAGCCAACATTCGCAGGCTGTTTGCTGACGCCGAGGAAGAAGAAAAGAGAGTGAGATAATAAATACTTATTTATTCACCAATTTATTGGCTTTGACCTTTATACCTGATGATACTTTAAGTCTCTGCGGAGTTTAGAATATACTATATAATGAATGAATATGACTTTCCGTACTTACCTTTGCATGTCAATTATTGCATGTCATTCAAGATATGAAAACATTGTGTAATATGTATGATTTTTATTAAATCTAATAAAAACTTTAGAATCAGTTACAAAAAATGATTTATACTATTTTCTCGTCTCCAAATGAGAATGTGTTCAATAAAAAATATATATTGTATATATTTTTCAGTGTGGACCAAACAGCGGCCTGCATATAATCATCTTCGACGAAATCGATGCTATTTGTAAGGCGAGAGGCTCAGTAGGGGGCAACACGGGTGTACATGACACTGTCGTCAACCAACTGCTGTCCAAAATAGATGGTAATATATACACGAAAAAACTATATACATACATATTTTTATTAATTCGCTTATTAATCTCTTACTTAGAAAAGAAAAAAAATTGAGTTTGTCATACAAAATAAAAATATTTTTATTTACTAAAATACAATGGGAAAAATCACAAATTACTCAACTTTTAACATATTAAATATCACAAACTGCTTTTTAAGTGTCATATTTAAGTGTCCAAAGATGAAATCATTGTTCCAATGATGTATTTAATTACAGGTGTGGACCAATTGAACAATATCTTGGTCATTGGTATGACTAACAGGAGGGACATGATAGATGAAGCACTCATGAGACCGGGGCGACTTGAAGTACAGATGGAGATAGGTTTACCAGATGAGAAAGGAAGGGTGCAGATATTGAACATACACACCAAGAGGATGAAAGAATACAAGAAGATTGCTGAGGATGTTGATAATAAGGTGAAATATGAATGCAGTATGATCCTATAAAAATAAAAAAAAAACATCAAATTTGTCTCTTTATTTCTGCTTTAATCTTCTTCTTCTACCTGGCAATTTTCTAGCTATAGCCAGGGTTTGCCTTAGATGTTATGAATAGTTTTGGCTATTTGTTTTTTACGACCGGCCGCCTGCCTGAGATCAACCCTCTTTTGGGAATGTTAATTTCTGCTTTAATATTACATGATATATATTTTTGTTAACATTTTATTCCACCACGCAACAACCACAAAATGTCATAAAACCTTCCTTAATTCTGTATCAAATGTTCATTAATTTAATATATATACTGCTATTTCCAGGAGTTGGCAGCCCTGACGAAGAACTTCTCCGGAGCTGAGCTTGAAGGTTTGGTTAGGGCTGCGCAGTCAACGGCCATGAACAGACTCATAAAAGCATCTAGTAAAGTGGAAGTAGACCCTGAGGCCATGGAAAAACTCATGGTGGAGAGAGGAGACTTCCTACACGCCTTGGAAAATGATATTAAACCGGTTAGTTTGTATATTATAATCAAATCTTGTTTGAAGCAAATAGATATTTATAAATATATTGTAATAGAATTAATTTTTAGTATGCATTCATAGACTATACAAAATTTTAAAGTCACACTATATAGAATAAAATCATGTTTAAATTTAAAAAAACTTTTGATCAATTTACTACATTATCATTGCAATAACGATGCTCACGAAACACCTAAGGTTTAATAGTTGTTTGATTCAAAAGTCCTATTTGCAGCAAAGACTAATATTTCCGTGTACGAGGGTCAAACTGAAAGTTCTTAGAACTGGCCACTTAAAAATAATATAATAAAAAAATAATTCTAAAATTTGAAAATAGAACTCTTTGCCAATATTTTTGAGTATATAACTCATATTATATTTGTCATTTGTTTTGAGATTTGGCGGCAAATTGAAAATTGTCTGTGTCACGTCAACATGAATTTAGCACGAGAAAATTTTCGTGCAATGATTTTTTATGACTTTAGATGTCATTTAAGTCAGCAAGAAAGTTATAATAGACTACGATTGGCCTTTCAAGATGAGGCCCCATCTCGTGCGACTGTTTACAATTGGTTTAATGAGTTTAAACGTGGTCGCACTAATTTCAATGATGATTTATGTGAGGGACGGCCCTCTACGGCGACGACTGAAGATAACATCTGTGTTGTGCGGCGTATGATAGAGACTGACATAAGAGTGACCTATCAGCAGATTCGGACAAGCTTAGGCATCGGTATGAGTCAAGTGCACAAAATCCTCCACGAACATTTAGCGGTCAGGAAGCTTTGCGCCCGATGGATACCTCATAATTTGACTGAGGCTCAAAAACTCCATCGTGTGGATTGATGCCGTAAAATGATTGAAAGATTTAATGGAGGTGACTCAAATGCTGTGTTCGACATACTAACAGGTGACGAAAGCTGGATTTACTGTTATGATCCTGAAACCAAAAGACAATCTGCTCAGTGGGTGTGTCCTTTCGAGGAGTTGCCAACTAAAGTGAAGAGAGATCGAAGTGCGGGAAAAAAATGGTGGCCTCGTTCTTTGGAAGGATAGGTCATTTCGCAACAATTGTATTAGAGGATCAAAAAACAGTTTCTGCAGAATGGTACACTACCATTTGTTTGCCACTTGTCTTGGAAAAAGTTCGAGAGAAACGACCTCGCAGTAGGATCCTCCTTCACCACGACAACGCCTCGTCGCACACCGCCAAGCGAACGATCGACTATTTGGCAAAATCAAACGTTGAATTACTGGGTCACCCGCCGTGCGATTTTCACCCGCCGCCGAGCCCCAACCTCGCACCTTGTGATTTTTATTTATTTCCAAAAATTTATTTTTAATTTTTCTAGGCATTTGGTACAGCTGCCGAAGCCCTGGAACACTTCCTGGCTCGCGGCGTCATCAACTGGGGTCTTCCTGTGTCTTCATTGTTGGAGGACGGACAACTTTATATACAGCAGTCTAGAGCCACTGAAGCTAGCGGTATGTTTGTCAAATTATATATATAATTCTTCTGTGAGTGTGTATGTCACTGAACTTCTTTCAAACGACTGGACCGATTTTGATGAAAGTTTTTGTGTGTGTTCAAGGGGATCTGGGAATGGTTTAGATTCACAATTTTGTCCGCTGGACAATGTTTTTTAATTAATTTTTAGTTGTTGATACAAACGTTTTTTTTTGACATTAGATTTGACAAGTAACTAATATGTCAATCATTCTGTCGCACTTCAAAACACGAAGATTTATGGCTTTAATAGGTAAACTCCAAAAATATCCAAAAAAACATATTTTTATATGTAAAAATATGATTATAAACATATAGGGCGATACGAAGTTCGCCGGTTCTTTTAGTATATGTATATGTTGGTGTGTGTATGATGTACCTTACATATGATCTTCCCAGTAAACTAACATAATTATTTCTGCTTGTTTGTATATCAAGCGATTATCTCTTCGCCTAGTCTATTTTTAAATGTGGAAAATAATTCGATGAAGCCTTACGGCTTACAAGTAATATGTTTACTTTTAAGTACCTATTAAGACTATAAAAATTAAATAGTATGAAAGTATAGTATATGAGAAATAGAACCATAAACGTCATCAGCCTATCAGAGTCCACTGCTGAGCATAGCCTCTTCTCACATGGAGAAGATTTGAGCATTAATCACCACGCTTGCTCAAGACGGATTGGTGATTTCAAGCTTATAATTGTGAAACTATAAGTCCAGGTTTCCTCATTATGTTTTCCTTCACCGTATGTCAGTAGTGTCTAAGTACTCTAAGAAAGTACATATGACTCCGAAAAATCACATTGGTACTTGCCAGGTTTGAACCCGCGCCCTCGGCGACGAGAGGCGGGCCCTTTAACCATTACGCCACCACTGACTACCATAAACAAACATTCTAAATTTAAAATTACATACAATTTCCAGGTCTAGTATCGGTGTTGTTAGAGGGTCCTCCAAATAGCGGTAAGACAGCCTTAGCCGCTCAGTTGGCCAAGATGTCTGACTTCCCGTTCGTAAAAGTTTGCTCTCCGGAAGACATGGTCGGCTTCACTGAAACAGCCAAGTGCCTGCAGATAAGGAAGGTAATACACTATGTATATTGTTTGTATTAACTACATTTTAATTTTAATAATATCATTCACTGATATGAAATTATTTAAAAAACAGGAAGTTGTAAAACATTTCTGAAATTATATAGATTTAATTAAGTACAAAAGAATTTTACTTAAGGTTTTATATATATGTATATATAGGTAAAACAAATAAATTATAGACTTTGTTCTATCTTAATATGTATAAAAAAATTAATATTACATTAATTTTTACATTTACATTAATTTTGAATACAAATTTAATAATTAAGCAACATTGCTTCTATTTTTTACTGAGTGGTTCTCCTTTTTGTTAAATTACACTGCTGCACACTTATTATTATTTTTATTGATTTTTAACTTAATATTTGTCTTGTTGTAGTTGTTATGTTATTTTATTTACCTTTTTATCTATACATAGGATAAGTGATACTCTGTTTTTATTTTATTGTTTGTAATTTGTTTTGTAATGGTGTAATATTTTAACCAGTAAACGTTTACTATTATTATATTTCCAGTACTTCGACGATGCCTACCGTTCGAGCCTGTCCTGTATATTGGTGGATAATATTGAGAGGCTGTTAGACTACGGTCCCATAGGGCCGCGGTACTCAAACCTCACGCTTCAAGCCCTGTTGGTGCTTCTCAAGAAACAACCTCCCAAAGGACGTAAACTGCTCATTCTGTGTACCAGCAGTCGCAGGTACTTTAAAAAGCATAGATTTTAATAATTTGAATTTAGAACTAATTTGAATTAATTAATGAAATGCGAGTGTGAGTGTGTGTCTAATGTTAAAATAACTATTATTATTTAAATGTGTAATGGCAATGTAGGAGGTTTGTTTTTTTTATATATATTTTCATATATAAATAACGTAAACAAACATCTAGCATTTTATAAAACGATCGCTAATTAAGACTTAAACATTATAGTCTATACGTTTGTATATATTTAAATATTTATCAATGGTTATATACTCTGGAGATAATAATATGTATGAATTTCACAGACAAGTCCTCGAAGATATGGAAGTTCTATCAGCGTTCACTGGTGTACTTCACGTACCCAATCTGTCTCAACCTGAACACGTGATGACTGTACTTGAAGAAAGCGACGCCTTCACTAAACGTGATCTGGCTAAAATACAGCACGACCTGAGAGGGGCCAAGTATGGAGTTATTTTAGTTTGTTTTAATATCGTATTACCTTTTACTTGTGAGATATTTCAGCAAGCATATCAATGATACTAATACATATTATTGGTAATAAAATATGTATATCGTTGCAGTTATCTCTGAATATTAGTATTAAATTATTCTTTATAGGGCTTTCAGCTTTAGTATAATTAACATTTCCACATACTATGTAGAAATATCAATAAGATACGATCAAGGTGCGAATTTTGATTTCAGAAAAAAGTGGCACCAGTTCGGTAGTCATCATACTCAAATATGTACAAGGTTCTATCTAACCAATTTTAGACATTTATGAATTGAAATATAAACTTATCATTGTATTTAATTGCAGAATCTTCATCGGGATAAAGAAGCTCTTGGCGTTGATAGACATGGTGAAGCAAACGGATGAGGAATCTAGAGTGTTCAAGTTCCTGACGAAAATGCAAGAGGAAGGCGGCCTAGACTTGGGCACTACCATACAATAAGACATACACCAACCTTAGGGATCACACACGCATACCACACTAACGCCCTCACACACACAAAGAAACAAAGCAACTGAGAGCTCACCCTGTATACACGACCTTAGGAGCTACGAAATAGACTATGATGACGTCAGCGAGTGTACGGAACCGATACTAGATAGATTGAGAACCGCTAAAGGAGACGAAATATCACCAGCCAAAATGCCCCTAATGAGAATCAGGAGTGTGGAAATAGTCTTCGAAGATGAAATGTCCACTTGCACCGACACAGGCCTCCTCGACCGGAGCATCGAACTCATACAATCTGATAGCGACGATTCAACTCAATGTGTCGATGATCTCCATTTACAGGAGAGAGAGGATTCTGTGACCCTGAACGCTGATGTCGAATTGTCTGATGATTCATTCTCTCAGGATGCGCAAATCTATATCCCTAAAATACCAATCATACAGATATCTAACGACGCACACGATCAAATTGATTCCTTGACTATAATCAAGGATGACGTCACACTTTCATTGAACGTCTCAGAATTAGGGGATTCGGGTCGATTCACAGAGGAGGCGTGTTCATCGCATGTCGACAAGCCGCTTATTACATACGACGCCTTACTATCGAGGTCCTTCGATTCAGTTAACACTGAGAGAATGTTGAGTATGTGTGAGATATCTGATGTTAGCGATGATAAGAGTAAGCTATACGAATACATTGATAGCAACAGCGATAGCTCCGACACCGCCATCTGTGACGAGGAACACCCGGGGCCCAAACATGTATCACTCGACACTAATTCTGAGGACACTAGTCTGTGTGAGAGTTATGACCTGCAATACGACTCGTTCGTTGACATTGGAAAGTTTTAAATACAATAATCCTAAAAGCTTATTGTTTTATGATAATTAATTACAGCTTCACTGTATGTTTTGATGTTTAAAATGTAATCCGGCTTGGTGTTTACATTCCATTTAGTAAGCTGAGCACGCTGACCGCATTTATATTATCAAGAGCTATTCGCGCCCTATGTTATCTATACACAGCTTTTGCTCGAAGGGCAGAGTGGTATGCGACTCTAGTGACCATGTCATTGTTACTTCGTTAATTCTGTTAATTAGTGTTTTTTATGTAAATATAGTAAGTTTATTAGATCCTTTATATTTCTTATCCGACTGTGACATGGTTACTGATATCCTGGGGTTGTAGGTCTAGACAATAGCTCAATTTTGTATAATGTTATAACAAAAGCAATATTGTTAATTTATTTTTTTGTTATGTTTATAAAACGCAGCTTTATGCTGTTTAGTTTATAGGCATTTGAAATCATTCATTTTATAAATACGTAGCTATTTAAGGATAACAATTAACATGTCAATATGAAGTATTTGATATTAGTGTTAAAGATCTTTGAAACTCGCGGGTAGAGGTAGAACCTTTGCAGTGTTATGGCTTATAGAGCTAACGATTACTATGTGAAGAGTACAATTATTGATAAAATATTAAGCTTTTGATGTTGTACTTACTTTTCAATATTTATGACTTGAAATTTTTAGAACTTTGAAAGATTTTTAGAATACTGTTATATTAGTTGCTAATAATGTCTACTTAAAATATATTACACGGATTGCCTAATTAATCAAATTCAAGGGAAAACTATTTAATGCTGTTATAAAAAAATAAAAAATGTTACAGTAGAGTTAATATTATTCGATGCATTGCTAGTTAGTTTTGCATAGAACATTCCATACACCATTTACTCATTCAATATATTTTATTATACGAAATGTTAAAAATTATTCTCTATTGCTAAATATGCTTATAGACACAGTAGTGTGTGTTATAACTGTTTTGTCTGTGTGTATAGTATAAGTGTTAACCATATCAGCAGATAATCTACAATAAAAAAAAATGGTTTATGGAATTGTGTACAGTACATTGTTTTAATTGTATTCATATCCTCTATTTATGACCCTTATATATTTAATATAGGATGTTTGCTGATATGTCCTGTTACAAAGAAATTAAAGAAATTGACAAATCAACCATTTTTTATTTACCTATCAATTTGATTGAAAACTTTCCTTCCTTGAGAGGAATTAAATGCTACCTTTTAAAATGGGGTATGGTATGCCTTAGTTAAAATAGTATATTGAAAATTAACCGTACTGAATACAATTATAATTAATTAAAGCATATTGATTTGTTAAATGTATTCTCTAAACATGACTGAAAACTCATATTGTGTGTCAATATACCACTTTGTTCTCCCTACTGTACACATTGTTTGAAGGAGTAAAAAAAACATTTTTTTAAGAAGATATTAAATTAACATTGGCATTTAATTAAAATCAAAGCACATTGATTAATATTTATAATTATATTGAAACTTAAATGTAATCCTTATATTAATTTGCAGTTTCACAGGCATCCACCCAATCATTATAAACATCGATGGGTTCTGATAAAACATTAGTTGTTGTTTGGAAGTCTTCTAAGCATACTCGACATTGAATTCTTGCTGTATTTCTCGCTCGATCCCTGTTAATAGAAAACAGATTAATTATTAACACCATATTAACTGTAACACTTAATTAAGAACATACGAACATTTTAACTTCACATGACTTTTCGTGGTTACAGAAAGGACAATTAAATTGTTGGTCGAGAGGTTCTATAGCTTTTCGTTTCGGTGGAGGCTTTCTTTTCGATTTGCGGCGTCCCATGTCTTAAAGCACAAAGTTGTAATAGATATTTAAGGATAAGGTATTTAGAAAAACAATTATTCAAAGTTAAGACATAAAAAAATATTATGCCTAAACAATATCATCATTACCGGCACTTTATACGCTTCTTTGTATTAAAAATACAGAGAAATTTTTGAAAAGCAACGCAGCACAATAGGGCACAACCTTTTTACGAAACGTCAGTGTCACAAACAGATGTCGAAATTCCAATATTAATATTATGTTATATGTTATCAAGCAAAGACGGCCTTGCCAGAGCTATGTTTTAAATTATAATATTAATTTTTAATTCATAACACAGCATATATTTTAGATATTTATTACAAAAAAAATCTACAAATTGTAATCATTGATTAATTGAATTACCAAGGTACAACAATACAATTATAGTAGTCTATGGTGAGCATTTACAAATGGCCGATTATACGTCTACTTCATATCGTTGTATTACGCTAAAAACAGAAGTTACTGTGTATTTGTGTTATACTTTCCACTTTTTTCGCAATTAATAAAACAAACTAATGTAGAACTGACATTCAGTTACTATAACTAGTTAAGGATACTTAACAATAACCTCTAAAGCTCTAAACAAAATGGAGCTTCCCCAACCACCTCAGGGTATGTATAGAATCAATCGTTACTATAAAAGATGAATTTAACTAACAATATTAATTACATATAAAACTTTTTAGATCAAGATCTACGCAACATAATTGACAAACTTGCTCAATTTGTCGCAAGAAATGGCCCAGAATTCGAAAAGATGACCAAGACAAAACAAAAAAACAATCCAAAATTCAGCTTCCTCTATGGTGGAGAATACTTCAACTACTATCAATATAAAGTCACCACCGAGCAAGCAAGTAAGCATATTGACGGTGGAAATAGATAACGGCGCCCGAACGCCGCGTGTTGTTGTAACAGTTTGAAGTGACCCTCCGCTGTTTATAGTTCTAAAGCAATCTGCCGGTGGCCAGGCGGCCGCTCCCGCTGGGGCTTATATGGCACAGAGCAGGCAATATGTAATGCCCCAACAGGCCAGTACACCAGCGCAGCTCGGGCTGGCGGCGACTATGGCGGCGGCGCCGGCGCTTCAGCAGTGGCTCGCCGCGAACTCCGCGCCCGCGCGACCCGACGTCGACAGCGTCAACGCTCAGATCAACATACTTAAGGAACAAATCACTCAGTCGGAAAACAATCTCAACGCCCAACACACGGTTAGTGATATTAATCATTGTTTTAGGTCATGTACATAAAATGTAACTCTAATTACTACCATGACATACAATATTTAAACCACTTGTTACCTTGCCTTACTCAAATGTTTTATTAATAGATTTCAGTACATGTAACAACTATGAGAACAGGTAGTCTATTGAGTGCATGTTTTAAAACAGACTTACATTATATACTATCTGCATGAAAAATATATTAAACGAGAGCATTAAATTTTTTAATCCTCATAATCTTAGTTTATTAGGCACTTTCAGAGCACTAGAAACATTTTTGTACTTTATACTTATAAGTACTTCCTATTAGAGAATATTTATTTTGTAGGTGTTGATACAACAGCAGCAAGCTAAGATTAATGAGCTGGTCAACAAGGCGCAGATGGAAACCATTCAGATTATGGCAGAAGAAAACAACATTAGCTTAGCGGAACTGGATAGCGTCTTGCAGCCAATCATTGACACATGCACTAAAGATAGTATATCGGCAGGTAATAAACATTTACTTAATAAAAAAATACATATATATACTAAATAATTTATAAATCTCTTCTATATGAAATTGTATGTAAATCATATCTCATAATCTCATTTTTGCAGGCAAGGGGTGGATTTTACAACATGCGACTTCAAATGATGCCGGCAAAGTTATTTCGCTACATCTCCTGAGAAAGGTGACACAGTCGGGAGCGCTGTTCACACAGAAGCTGCACATCATATACCTTGTCAATGATGTTTTACATCATTGGTTAGTAAACACTACTTGTTTAGTATAAGCTTGTTGGGAAGGGTGTTATGTGTGTCGCACAAAATGTCCGTTGATGTCACTGTTGATTGTATGTGTTAACATCACATCACTGTTTCATGGCATCCATGCAAACTAAGAAACCCTCTGTTACAGTAAACATTTTCTTAAATTTTTCGTTTCTATATTTATTTTCGGTTTTATTATATATGTTTTTTTTTTTAAATTCTTGATGAGGTATCTTTTTCATTGATTGTACTTGAATGACATTAACTTAGTTGTTGACTGTATTTTATTTATGAACGTGCAAACTCTACCAATCTGGTGTCTATGATACAATTATTCCTAATTACAGTGCACGCAAAAACGCGGAAGATCTCAAGAAAAATTTGGAAAATGTGGTGGTTCCAATGTTTTGCAATGCCAGTATAGGTAACATATTTATAATAATGCCCTCAATGATTTAGGTCTCTTGTCGTTTGTGCATCTACACTTGAATCACCTAGTTCAACAAATGTTTTACCCGTCAGGTAACTTGCTTGATTCATATAGGATTGTATGACAACAATTTAATTATTTTGCTGTTTCAGCCGTCACAGAGGAACAGGAGGCTAAGTTGAATAAACTGCTGCGTCTTTGGGAATCTAAGTCTAACTACTTCGACAGCGCTGTCATTGAGAAAATGAAGAGTCCCACGAGCTCCTACCAGGAGTATCAGAACAACCTCATCGCTCAGCATTCTAACGCTATCGCGCATTTAGCGCAACAGACGAAAGCAACATTTGAAAAGTATGTAAACAAATGTACTATTGTAATACCAAGTATAAGTACTATATTCAATACTAATGAGATGTAAGACTTTCATTCATTTAAATGAAACTAATATTTTTCAGATTAGTACGCTTATTTTATTAAAAACTACATAGGACATTCACATCTCGTATTCTGCACCCAAACGTCGTCTCGTACCCAAACGTCGGGAGAATGCAGTTTTTAAAAATAAAATACGCGTAGTAATCCGAAAAATATTAGTTTCATTTATATAGCACACTGTTCTAAAAATACTAGTACAAGACTAATAGGAATACAAATTGATTGAATTAATCGTCCTTACAGTTATCAATCCCAGCATCAAGCGTTTGTAAGTCACACAATGCAGCAGATACAGCAAATGGAAATGCAGAAACACGCTCTAGAAATACAGAGCGGACACAACGAACACAAGGACGCTCCACAGAACAATATGCATCCATTCCAGAGTAACTTCAACGATCAGTACAACAACCAACAAATGAACTACGAACAGTTTAACTCATCTCATCAGTACGGCAGCGAAAGCGGCGACAACTACCCATCAAACAACAGCGTCAGCGGAAACGAGAACAGCTACGACAGTCAGACATTCGATCAATTGACGAATAAACCGGATGTAGAGGAGCCGGATTTAACAAATCTGCCGAATATTAATTTCTCTCAACCACCGCCTGGGTTTAAACCTCAAGAGATTACGATAATACCGTTTCAGAACGGTTTACCAGATCTAAGCAAACCACCTCCCGGTTTCCCGCCCTTCCCAGAAATAAACAACGAAGACCTAATGCCCTCTGTACCATACTTTGAATTACCAGCTGGACTTATGGTACCACTCATTATGGTGAGTATATCGACATAGAATTTCTCGTAATTTTTTTAATCTATTAAAACTACAATAAATATTCATATTTATTTGATTTCTAAATCATATTAAGAATAAAATAGTTCTACTGTCTAATTTTTTATATTTATAATAATATCTTGTAAAAAAAAAAAACAAAGACGTTGCAAATATTTGTATTAATTAAAAATAGAGAAGTTTATTTTAATAAAGATTATATTTTTCTTAGTATTTTTTTACTTATAAGAATAAAGTATAAAAAAAATGATTTCAAAATGATGTGTTTTTGATATAAATATAATGCTATACAATCTACATAATCTAAGTAAATTTGATCAATCCTAATAATATTGTTCCTTTAGAAAAAAATAGATAAAATAATGTGCTGATTGAACAAAATAAATCAATTTACCTCCTCAATCATTTAAATGTTTCACTACAAATTGTGTAAAAATATATTTTTCCGTACCGTGACTCTTAATGAAACAACTAATATGAAATATTACGTTTTAAAACCTTCTACAAAGTTGTTTTCCAAATAACAATTTAACTGAAATTAATTTGAATGTTAGAATAATCAAAAATTTAAAAAGCTCACCATGGAAACACGATGTTATAAAATGGAATTACATAAAAATTACTAGTAAATTTATACAATTATAAAAACATGAGATTTTTAATAAACATTAAATGATATTTAAAAAATGAGATGTAAGACTTTCGTGGCTATTCATTTTACGCATCTCGTGCCACGATTGCTGAAAAGTAACCGAAACGTCGATAGTATGTAGTTTTAAATAACAAAATACGCAAAGTAATCCGAAAATTAGTTCTATTTGATATTTAAATTATCTTTACCCTATATAATATATTTTTATAATATTTTTCAGTTAGAAGACGACAGATATCGCCCCCTTGACCCGGCTGCTATTCGTTTACCGCCCCCCGCGCCTCCCAACGAGAGACTACTGGCCGCTGTAGATGCATTCTACGCATCACCCAACCACGAACGACCTAGAGATAAGTACGTACTACGTACATCAGTTAATTAACCGACGTAAAAGATGTAAGATGTAAGATTCTAACTCGAGTACTAAAAACTGTGCTAATTACGTATTTAAATGATATTTTGTATTTAAATCACAGTATTTTTCTTACATATCTGTAAAATAAGATATCTCTGTAATAATGTTCAAACACGCTTGTATGACTTCTATTTTATTTTAAATACTGAATTGAAATGTTCTGTGTCTGTTTTATGCTAATATTAGTCTGTATTTATTAATATTACAAAGTAAAAATATTTTTTTCCATCAACAGTGAAGGCTGGGAGAAATTAGGTTTATATGAATACTACAAAGCCAAAAATTCAAGTAGAAAGAAAAAAGAAGATGACATCGCTCAAGGTTTACGGGAAAAGTCAAAATCACCAAGTCCCATACCTAAAGACTTACAAAAGCAGCCCACGCCGCCCGGTAGAAGATATAGGTAAGATAATAACATATACATAAAAAATATATTAAAATATAAGTGTTTAAAGTATTCACACTGTATCTAATATTCTATATATCTATAACATTATATATATAAATATAGGTCATTAAGTAGAACACCAGAAAAAACCCAGTCACCGCAGAGAAAGTCACGATCACGGACGCCCTCGCCAAGAAGGAAATCATCATGGAGGAGGGAACGGGAACGGGAAAGTATGAAATAAAACATAAAGGGATATTTGTCGTTCATTCCTTCATTCATTCGCTCACAAAAGGCGCTGATTATACGATCTGAAGAGTGCATTCACTGATTACTTATTATTCAACATTAAATTATTAAAATACGCTCCAATAATATTATGGGTTAAGTTAAAACGTGTTACATATTGGAAAAATCGTCACTGGATGTTGTGAAAGACGTAATTTTATTTTTAGCCATAACAATCTTGTTCTGCGTATACAGTAGAGATTTTGTTGACCTGCTAGTATCTCTAGCTTCTACTCCCTATAATATTATTCATAGTTAATAAGTTAATAACTGAATGTGTTTCAGGTCGTCGCCGTTCCCGGTCCCGGTCTCGTTCCCGGTCACGAAGTCGGTCACGAGAACGTGAACGACATCGAGACTCACCTCGCAATAGACGAGTAGAACGATCTAGATCACCCACACCGCCTAGCTTCCTGTAAGGCTTCACTATTTTATATACATACATAACATTATTATATATGCCTTCTTAGAAATACTACTTAATCTTATTAGATCTTTGTAATAAACTGTGTAGACTATTAGATTCGAATTAAGTATAAATCATATTACATAATCTATATGTCACTGAAAATCCATTAGGATTTAGGAATCGCTCCAACTGTTTCAACAGTTCCAAATTTAAATGTTTTATTCATTACTAGCTGTTACCCGCGGATGTTCGAGATTTCCGGGATGTAAAGTAGCCTATATGTTATTCCCGGACGTCAGGTTCCTGTATACAAAATTTTATCAAAATCGCTTCAGCCGTTTGAGCGTGAAGATGTAACAAACATACACACACACTCACAAACTTTCGCAATTATAATATTAATAGGAAATAGGTTCGTAGTAGATTTGTACGCGGTAGAGGTGGGAGCGAGAGGTATAGCAGTGAAATCTCTCTACAACATACTAAAAGACTTGGGCTTGTCCAGAACTCACATTAATGCATTCTTGGAACGTACATCGAAGGCAGCCCTAGTAGGTTCTTTTCAAATTTGGTTAGGTTGAGAGAGGAGCTTGGACAGTGGAGGTGAGCGTATAACGTTACACAGGGGCCCCTTAAACCTACACTTGGGTCGCAAGTCCCAGGCACTGTTGATGCTCCTCTCCCTGCAACGCGATGGACCCGGCGCCCGCACGGTGACTCCATGGAATGCTGAGAAGTTTCGTCTCGTCTATCACCTTAATACATTGTAAATTAACAGAAGTGGAGGTTCTTATCCGAGTTCATCGAGCGGTTTGGACCCGAGTAACAAAGGTCACCAGCTACTACAGAAGATGGGCTGGAGTGCGGGCGGGCTGGGGGCGGCGGGACAGGGCATCGCTGAACCTATCAGTGGAGGAACTGTACGAGATAAACAGGATCAATACAAAGGTCAGTAGGAACTTGATACATAAAGATATAGCTAACTAGCTTTCCGCCCGCGTAAGGTTCGGTTATATCGCGTTACCAAGAGAACCTTTCAAAAGTCTGGAATAAATTATCCTATATTCTTTTAGTATAAGGGTCAGTAGGAACTTGATACATAAAAAGATATAGCTAACTAGCTTTCCGCCAGCAGTTTCTAAGAGAACCTTTCAAAAGTCTGGGATAAACTATCCTATGTTCTTTCTCAAGGTGAACTCTATATCTGTACCAAATTTAATTAAAATCAGTTCAGTGATTTAGGCGTGAAAGCGTAACAGACAGACAGACAGAGTTACTTTAACATTTATAATAATATTAGTAGGGATAGTCTTGTAGTAAAACCTTATTCATCTATATCCTATAGAATAGTTCCATGAGAAATCATTTCTATCAATATTGGAGTTCCCATAAGTTTGAGTTCTGGAGAGACATATAAAAGGATATTAAAGCCAATAGTGTCTTGTAGTAAAACCATATCTTTATTTCTGCATAGTTATATGAGAGGACATTTCCATCAATGTCTTCTAGTTAAAATATCTGAGTTCTCATAAGTGTGAGATGTAATTAATGAAATTATTATATAATGTGAAAATTCTTTGTTGCAGTTTAAAATAAATTTCTATTGTGGTTATTCCTAAATAATTAGTATGAGTTAGCAGTTATTTGTAAATTGTAACACAAATTCTACAAAATATTACAAGTAGATATTAGAGAAAACTACTTTAATTTCGTACAAACTGTGTACATCATTAAGAATGGAGAAAAAATATTATAGCAATTTCGATAGTCCAACATGTAAAATAAAAAAGAATGTTAATTTCATCCAACACTTTAAACAATATGTATTACATTTATTTTTTTTTCTTTTGCAGGCGTAGGAGTAAATCTAAATGATCCATATGAAAACTTCAGGAAGAACAAGGGAGCAGCTTTTATAACGCGAATGAAGGAAAGAGCATTGGAGCGATCATCGTGATTGCGGTTGAAATAACTTGATGTAAATGTGTAAAGTGCGACTGTGTGGATGAGATATGATTTATTTTATCTAAATCATCATGAATAAAGTTATATGAATTTAATACTATTTTATTAAATACCAAAACATTGTTAGCGTAGTTTATTTATTCAATGTATAATTAAAAATATTTTGTACAAAGTTGTATTTAAAGAAATATTTTAAAGCTCAAAATTGTCTTCATAATTGTCTTTGAATTCAGCTATCCTGTCCAAACACTCTTTATAATCACCATATTCGAGACCTTCATTACCAAATTTATGCAATTTAGAAAATTTAATTCTGCTTACATCTCTATGTAATTTTTCAATCATATCTGCCATGAAGTTACCGTTATGAAGTCCTGCTATGACTGGACAAGACTCAACCTTTTCCGATTCTGGTCCACTATTAATAAAACCATATTTATTAAGTCTATCTGAGAAGAATCGTGGATATGGAGTTTTTAATTCGAGCGGTTTTTCACATACAGTTACATTAGTGGCAGATAGGAAATTATTTGCTTGGAAATACAATTCAAACATTTCCTTCACACTATTACACCTATATGCGGGGATATTCAACTGTTCTTTGGCTTCTTTCATTGGTGCTTTCAAGTATGTTTCTGGAATACCTCTCACAGTGATTAACTGGAAAAGTTTATCAGTAGCAATTTTACAACTTGGTGTGATGGATTGATAAATGAGTTTTGTGGTGCTATTTAAATACTCTATGAGATATTGAGATTCACTGAAAGTGAATGGTATTCCAAGTGACGCAGCTGCCATCTTTCTTCCATAACCCGTCATGTCGGCACAAACATCAGACATTGTGTAAACATTACTTTTATGTCTGTATTTCTGACCTAAACTATCCATAGCTGAAGCTAACAATGCTGAGGAATGATAATAACATTCTGGTTTATAATCGATATAGTCAAATAGCCGAGGATTTCCCGGCTTTCTCCATCCTTTTTCACCGGTACATAAAGGAACAAATAGTTTGACATGCTGGGACAGAGCTTCAATTGATAATGCAATATTAACTAATCTAAATGAATCTTTTAATGTGGACTTCTCTCTTTCTTCTTCTGTCGATGGACTATTATCTGAGAAATGTGATGCTATGATTGGATATGATAATATTGTCTTGGAGTATTCATCACCTATATGTTCTATGCAGCCAAGTGCGAGTCCAGAAAATCCATCAGTACAATCAAAGTTGACTTGGAATCCTTGCAAGCTATCACATTCTTCAACATATTTCCTGATATTATCTGCAAATGTTTCTCCAATATCTGATTTCCATAGAGTACTACCCGATGTGAAGATATCAAAACTTTCCTGCAAAACAAAATATCACATTTAATTTTGTTAAAAATAAGAAATTATTTTGATATTTAAATGTCCAGAGGACCTATACATGAAATTAAAAATATTTAAAGCTATATTTACATTTTCTGAACTATGTTGGTATTCCTTTATAATATTTACTGTACGAGAATGGAATCGAGGATATAAATAATCAGTCCATGTGTTTATATCCTGCTCTAATTTATATTCTTTATCTTGTAAATTCGAAGTGCCGGCATTTATATCTTTTATGAACTCATTCTTGTCAGGTTCTGGTTCCTTAATTGTTTCAACTTCTTCCCACGAAAAATCACCCTCTAAATTTGTCTCCTCTAGGCCTCCAGTGGCTGGTAAAGTTTTTAGAGATCCTTTTAAATCAGCCAATAACAATCGGGGGGTGTAAGTAACTTCACCAGAAGATGATTGTCCTTCCCGATACAATATATCGTGATTACATTCAGTCTTAACAGTACCCGTATAATCAAAACTTAATTCCTGGATATTCCAAAAATGACTTCCTACATAATTTGTATAATGACCAAACTGTAAAGTCAGAATCTCTCGAGTACACATGGTAAATAAAAGAAAGAGATTTCAATGAAAAATTAATCCTATTATTTAGGTACAATAGGAAAACATTTAAAATACAAATAAACGCTTATATACTACACGCATGAATAGAAATGCTAAGCTTTCAACTTCAAAAATGTACAATTTAAAAGTGAACTTGACAGAAATGATAAGACAAGATTAAAGAAAAGGACTAATTTTATTCACTTGCAACATTTGTTAATCTCAAGTCTTACCATTTTAATTTCTATATAAAATATTATCCCGGATTAAATTATTAAAATAGAATATGGGAAACATAGAGTTATTTAGGAAAAAAATTAAGAAAGTGGCATAATCATAATTTGGGTGACTTTTGCTAAGGGTTGGCAATTACACAGTTGTAAGAGTTTCTTCTTAATGAATTTGAGCAACTCAATACTGAAATAATACGAAAACGAAAGTGTTAGTCTAGTTTGTGAAAAATATTCCAGCCTCTTTAGTGATAATTCTTGCTGGAATAGGAACGCAAATTGCTGAAATGCAACTTTTTTACAATAGCTGCATTTAAACTTATTAAGTAGTAAGCTATTACTGTGTGAGCTTTAAGAATACTATCCCATTTGGCTAAATAAAATAGTACTTTTGACCAGATAAAGTTACTGTACCACAATCAAACGTTTTTCATAATTATTTATTTATACAGAACAAAAAAAGGTTTATTTACACTCAAGTGTATATATAGGGCCAGTGCTGTAACTAGCCTTTTATGCACCCGGTGCGAGCTTTTAAAACTGCGCCCCAGAAAAATGCTCTAACCAGGCTCTGAAAATAAAATGGCCAAATGTGCATACAAATAAATCTATCTATTTATTGTTTACCAAAGTAACAAAGTATATAGCTACCATGCATGAAATAAAACTAGATACTAGTCTCGTCATTTCTGTGCCCTGTGCCTGGGCACTGCCCTAGTTACGGCACCGTATAGGGCCCATATCAAACTTACTGCTGGACCCTGTATCATAAATTGGTGCGAGTAAAGAGTAACGTGTTTCTTATTGTGGCGAAGGTGAAGAATATTAAATGGAATCTTATGCTTATACATCTGAAGATTAACATTTCAAGTCCAACCAACCAAATGTAGCAGCATGAAAGCCAATGAGCTGAACTATCAATGTAGTATTTTTAATGGTTTCGAATATCTTACCTTTTTTTTTTAATTTTTCAATAACATTTCATAACTATTTGTTGACACTGGTTCAGTGCCTATGTAATCAGAGACACTGCTAAATAGCCTCCAGGTTCAATTTTGTTTAAATTATTACTATAATTCCTTCATCTTTAGTAATACAAGCACTCACACGGACTCCAATGATCATAAGTATTTTAATAAAATAAAACTACAAGACATATTAATTTCATTTTATTACCAAAAAAATATTAAAAATCATTCAACTTAGCTCACTTAATCTACTGCTACAGAACTAAACTATCCTCTACCCTTAGGACTAAACTTAAATAAGATGGATGTTGAAATACTGGCAGTGGAAAAATACATTCTTATGTATACATGTAGTAGGCTATTGTGGGGAACAATTATAATCTATAGTCATATAAACGTACTGTTGAAAAATGTTTTAAAAAACTTTTATTATTGTTACAAAAGACAATATTATATTAAACCTTAATTTTGTATTAAAGCGTTAGTAAATTATAAGCAAGGTACTATACTAACATTATATGTCCGTATTTACAAAATTGCACACTATAATATCAAACATATTTTATATTATTTATTGAAGTATATGTAAAAACGTCTAAATTCTGTAATCCCAATATGAATATAGTAATTTTTTTAAATTAATTTCCCATAATAAATTGGTTCTACTGACAGTTATCAACATACCATTCAAAACAATCGGTCACCTCACAAAACACCATCAATCACTGGACGACAAAATTGACCAAATTTATTAAGATACAGTTATATCTCAATACAAACTACTTTAATACCATTCAATCTAAGGTTACCATTTCTTTTAGTGTCATTTTATAGACCACACATATTAACCCTCAAACTTTATTTAATTCGGTTCAATTATAACCGTGTGCTGATAAAACGCCAGTAACTTTTAACTCGATAACATATTTGTCATATCATAATATGGATAGAGCTAAAACATACATGGGTCCAACGCATTCTTTTCTTGTTTCATGACAACCAATACATTCCATATCACAGTTTTATCTAATCTAAATTTTCTATAGAAGACGTAGCTAGATTAAATTTCGATTCTATGGCTTCTGTAAAACTGTTCCGACAAAACGTATATCAATACAAATATATACGCACAGTTATTTCTTGATTTATAATTAATCAATTGTTGTGACTGAGTTGCTACCGTGCATTTAATTCGTAAATTATATGAATTATGTTGATAAGTAATATTAATTAAGCTAATGTTAGTAAATAGTTATGTTCTAACTGTTTTAGAACGTGTATAACAAGCTAATGATTTATTTGTTATTTGACAATTTTGTTAGCAAATCAAAATGTAAAATTTAGAAAATTAAGTCACAACCAAACATTTAAGATCCGAAACATGACAGAATCTTGAATTCAATCATTAATATAATATTGTTAAGTTATAACTAAACATTCTTCCATAATTCTGTTAACCCTATATGTTAAGGATACGATTTACAATACTCTAACGCTAAGTTTTATGCTAGCTCAGTAACATAATTTAGTTAGGTATTTTTGGTTTTTCTCATTTAATAAACATGTAATGAATAGTTGATTGTATGGTACATACAACAATGTTCACTTAAAACTATAAAAAATATATATCAGAGCGATATATCAACATTATTTAAACAATATAATGTAATTCAAATTATATTCTTTATCCCAATACTGTAGTCACTTGAATTTCTTTACATATATATAAATTGTATAGTTAACATATTATTGAAACAAATTCTAGCTCCGACTATCTCGAAATGTTACACAACATGGAAAATATATTACCAAATATAACAAATTAGATCTGAGCCTTTGAGCAATGTATAAGTAGATATTATTCATTAAGGTACATACAGAAACAGAAATAAATGATTTCAAATTCACTTAAACATAAATAAATCGTTACGTATAAGTGAATTCAAAGATATTAAGAATGTATGGGCTCAGACGTAAAATGTACAGCAGATCTAAACTATCAGTGTCAACAAATAAAATGTATCATAATAAATATGAATAAGCGGTGGGATTTTTTATTATATACCCGCTATAGTTTTTGCTGTTATAGCCATACTTTTGTGACTCAGTAATGTACAAGTAACGTATGAGTAGAACAGCAAAATCAGGTTTGTACTGAACGGCTACATACTAACTATTACGAATCGAGACGATGTTACACAAAATATATCAACCGGAATATCTTAAATGTTACAAAAAAAAAATGTTACTAATTTACAGTGTACGATATGTAACGAGTGTTGCATTTTTCGTATAACGTAAATACACTTATCTGGTACAGACTATCACGTAAACACAGCTAACATTACACATTAGTTTTTAACACTGGATGGAATTTAACCATTAAACTAGCGCCACTCTGTTCACGAGCGGTGTCTTTCTTCGACTAGTGTGTGTCTGTGAAGAAACTGGCTGATAGATGAAGCTCGTCTTTGCCCGTTTAGCGGAATGAACTGGAACAATATAAATAGTCAATACATTTGTATCAATATATCAATTTTAAAAATATGACTTTGTTATGTATGTATATACAGGGTGACTGGTGAATTACTATCAATATTTAAGGAGCATACTCGGTACATGATTCTCATTCGAATTATGTAAAAAAATAGGTAGTTAATTTTTGACCAAATTTCCGTATTAATAAATAAAGTGTGTACACGTTCCAAGTGTTCCATGTGTGGACGCGTGCGGCAGCGTGCTGATACAACAACACGCCGCCGCGCGCGAGTGTGTGTGTGTGTGTGTATACCTAATCTGTAGGGTGTTCATACGATGCGTAATTAATTACATAACTTTTGGTTAACTTTACTTAGAAGTTTATTAATATTTATGTTATATTAATTTTTATTTTGTCATATATGATCGTCAAATACCACGTCCTCAAATATCGATAGTAATTCACCAGTCACCCTGTATAGTTGTATATATAAAATGAAACTCACTCGTATAATTTTCGGTAACAGATAAGTCTAATTTTACTGGTTTAGTATCGATGTCGATCTCTTCGTACGATTGATCCAATACCTGGAAACATAATTTTATTGTAATTATTACATTATTTCTTAGAGAATTTAAATTTATGTAAAACTAGTTTTCCGCCCGCAGCTTCACCCGCGTGAAGTTCGGTTATATCGTGTTTCCAGGAGAACCTTTCAAAAGTCTGGGATAAAAACTATCCTATTTTCATTCTCAAGGTCAACTCTATCTCTGTACCAAATTTCATTAAAATCAGTTCAGTGGTTTAAGCGTGAAAACGTGACAGACAGACAGAGTTATTTTCGCATTTACAATATTAGTAGGGATTTATTTGGATTGAAAATCTGTATTAGTGACGTCTTTATATTGTATTTTGTAGTATATTCTGTTATGTTAAAACTCACAAATTACCTCAACATCACTCAAGTCTCCATATAACCCCGGCGCCAGTACGCGGTAAGCCCCCACCATACCGGTTCCTTCAACTTCTTCTACTTCCAATTCCTGATCTGATTCCTGGTGAATAATATTATATTTATTAAATAATACTTTTAATTGACTCCAAAACATGAATTATAGTTGAATATTTAAGTGTAGGTATGCCAGGTAATATGTTGTAAACAAAAATTAAGAGGAGCTGTATTGACTAAAGGATCACGGAAGGGAGAGGAGGAGGAGGAGGGAGAATTATTTAGAGAACATGTTTGGATGTAATTAGCTACTATTCTGTGGAAATTGGAAATTAAAAATTGATGTATGAAGAAGTTATACTGTTTTAATTGTTCTCTAGAGATAATATTTATAGTATATACATATATGAAGTTAGTTGTGTTTGTAATTAATGTAATTATGTTATAATGTGATTGAGTCGAAATCATTGGCCCGATTGTTATCGGATTTGTTATTGAAGTCAATAAAAGAAAAGAGTTTTAGATCCATAAAAACTAAAAGATCTTTTACCTTCCTGTAAGACTTTGAAAGAGTTCAAATAATTGTTTTTTTGTATTTGACTTTAATAAAAATTAAAAGTATTAAATGTTTCCAAGACAAAAAGTTTTAACACATTTTCGAGATTATTAGTATAATGTTTGAAAACCGTTTCTATATTCATAAATATATAGATATCCTAAATATATTTTGAATAGTACATATTATGTTGATAAAACATCTTTAGTTTAGTTTTTTTCCTTGACATTGTACATCACCTATAGTATTGCATTCTCAAGAGGTCACTCACAGATATATAAACGCATATTTTTTGTTCAATGTCAACTGCTTGTCCCACACGATGCAGACGAAAACAACTACATATTATTATTTATTTTACTTCATATTAATGTTACGGGCAATTTTTAGTATAATTACTAAGTTTTCAATAAAGTTAGATGTACACGTTTTTGGTAATATCATTAATTACTAAAATATGTGTTTTTGGTCATACATTATTGGATTACATGTACCACTATTTCCTTATTATTTTTTTGTAAACAGTATCATTTTGCTAAGTTAATGATAAATTAATGTTAGTTACATCACTATTTTCTTCCAGAACGACTAGAACCAGTGAGCTTTGTCACACTAAATACGAATCCTTTCCCGTTTCTCATTAAATCATATACATTATTACTATAATGTGTTAAGATTTATGAATGAAAAACGATTGACGTTCTGTTTGTAGTATGAATATGCAAACTTACACTAAGCGTGCAGGATATTTTATTGGATCTAATTGATCAAAACTAGCAGGACTCGTGCGTGCGTATGTGTGTATATGTTAGCTCTTGTGTGTGTGTGTGTGTGTGTGTGTGTGTGTGTGTGTGTGTGTGTGTGTGTGTGTGTGTGTGTGCTGTCTGGTGTACGTTTGTCTCTGTCTCTCTCTCTCTCTCTGTGCGTGTGTGTGTGTGTGTCTGGTGTATGTTTGTCTCTGTCTCTCTGTGGGTGAGTATGAATATGTTCGTGCTTGTGTGTGTGTGTGTGTGTGTATACCTCATGTACGTGTTCCTCCTGTTCCTCATCCTTAACCTCCGGGTCTATCTCCAAGTCCAAGTCCTCCGTATCATTATCGTTATCATTATCTTCGTCTGCGTCATTGTCGCTGCCGAACCCGCTGTACTTCATCTCTCCGCGTTCCAATGCTTCCAGAGTCTCTGAAATTTATGGTAAAGTTGTTTGAATTAAGCTACTGAATAGTTTTGTTGTAGTATTAGCCTGATATGAAAATTGGCTTGCAGTTACTGTTTTGATTAATACGAAAGATTTTGTTCTTATATTCATTTTATTCGATAGGTTTTAAAGTTGATGAATGTAAGAACACACGCATTTTTGATCGCAGAATGACTATACTAAATATTAAAAATCTGTAAGTCACTTGATATAATATTACCTGGATAAATCATAGCTTTCTTGATTGCTTGTGGATCCTTCCTGGACCATTTCTGGACTTCTTCATCCATTTTGCCGACTTTCGATGGATTCATCGCCCATAGACAACCTGGAAAATGAAATTTAAAGATTTATAAATACATTTATTACATTGAATAAATCATAGTTTAAAGAATACTACCTTTCCGTTGACTACCATTCGTCGATGGTTTCTCAATCTTTTCGAAACATTTGTTTAAACTTAGATTATGCCGTACGGAATTCTTCCAACCGTTTGGTGCGGTTTTGAAATAGGGGAAATGTTGACTGAAAGTAATAGTGTTCATTATTTATAGGGAACTTATTTATTGTAATATGTTAAGCGCTAATCAACTTACCACATAAAATTATAAATCTCTGACACTGGTAAGCTTCCCGTTCTTGAGTTTTTTAGTGCCATTGCTATTAAACATGAATACGAATAGGCCGGCTTCGGAAACTCTCCCGCGACTGTTTTACTTGAATTATTTACGTATTTAGCTTGGCTAGTGTCTACTGTAAATGCACCGGTTACTGAGGTCTTAATTATTTGCCTGCTATTGTTTATTGATGAATTATCGATTAATATCGTCGCTTGTTTGTTACCATTAGCTAAAATTGTTCTAGATTGCTGGGCGTCCAATATGTGTATATTGCCGGATATAATAGTTTTCGTTCCTAAAGACTGTGATAGTTTTTGGTTCGTGTTTAAAACTGAGCAGTTCTTATTATTTATTTTCAATACTTCCTGTTGGCTCGACTTTATCCTGACGGTGGGCGTTAACGTCGAACTCTTAGTTTTGTTCGTGTCTAAATCCTTTAATAAATCTTTGACTACAGTCTTGTCTTGTTTACGCACATAAATGACCATCTGCGTCGCCTCCTCCAATGGCTTCTTGTTTTTTGTGTCTTCCGATTCCTGTACTTTAGCCACCTTGATGGCGTTCGGTGAGAATGTTAAATGACTTTTTTCCTCTTTAGGGCTCGACAGCGACGTGTTATTAGTGAGATCATTATTCGCAGCTGAAGTGAGCAGCAGATGTGAAGCCTCCTCTTTAACGATACTTTTGACTGGAGTTTCAGCGAACGTCGACGGCATTACCGAGTTAGGATTGACCATGACAGCGTTCGCTTCCGACCCATACAGATCGAGATTGTGTACGAAACTAGAAGAATTATTCAGCCACGTCACAGAATTATCTGTTTCCATGTCTAATAAAGGTGGCATTTCTGAGAAATTTAATCCTAATGAATCCTGGAACAAATTATATAATTTAATGTAAATGTTTGTGCATTAATATTATATTGTATTTATATTAGTATACTGACAGAAAAATCTGTTATACTGCTCAAGTCTGTCGCTATTTCATTTTTGATGTCCATATCCAGCATGTCCTGGAGTGAGTCAGTGATGTACAGATCCATGTCTAAGCACACCTAAGGAATAAAAATATTCTTAATTAATGAAAGTTAAAAATATTTGTATTCATCATTTCCGATACTTTTCGCGCCATTTTTGTTTCATAAATAGGATGTTTTTTTTTTATTAACGAAGCGAAGACGGGAATAAATTCCATTACCGTAGTGGAACCTGTTTTTGTGCCGTGGTATGCTATACCCTAGCAGTGAAAGAGATAGATAATATTTATGGTGCTTTCTCGCTTACGCTGTTCAAAGACATAATAACTTTTACGAAGTTATAAAAATATCTAACATTGTTTAACAGGAAAGACAGTACAGATTTTGTAAGTTATTATATCAATTAACACTAATGATTCAGTGTTTTCTATAAAAGTATGTAACAATATTATTTTTTATTTAAGACCTACATCAACAAGGAATTTCTTGGAAGCGACGGACTCCGATACACTACGGGCCGTTTCTACCTACAACTCGAACAAAAAACCTTCACGAGTACAAGATCGGAAGGCTTCCAAGTTTCGGGACGTTATTTTTTGTCCACACAAGTTATAAATAGTTCGCTTCGTGACCGAGAGTTCTCATTAAGTTACAAATATAGAAATAATTTTCTCTTTCCCACCGGAAGATGTTACTTCATTGATGACGTCTTGTTAAATTACGTTACTTGTACATACTTTATTTTTATTAAACGTGCTATGAGTCTGTTCGAGACGTTGAACCATTTGTGATAATTTACTTCTATACAATATGAGAACAAAACGGGTATATCTGTAGTCGCATAGTTGTAGCCTTATCTTTTGTGTAGTTTCGAAGAAATGAACAATAAGTTTAAAAAAGCCAAGGGAATGACTAGTCAAGTAATAAAGCTGGTAAAGCATGAAATTCAATTCATGGGAAGGTATTGAACTGATATGATAGCTTTGATCTATTTTATATATCTAAATATATAGCACTATACTAAAAAGATTTATTACGTAAGTTTTAATATTATTGCTGAATAATATACTGACTTATAACTCTTTAAAAACCTTATTAATTCTATAAATTAAATAAGCTGAATTACAATATATGTATTTTTAATTCGCTTTTTTTAAATTATTAAATGACGTTATTTAAACTATTTCACTAAAATGCTTTTCTTTAAAGAAAGTGTTCTTCATTTCATATAAAAAAACTATGATTTATTAAAGATGAGAAATTCTCACTAAACGTTACGTCAATGACGTTCGCGAGGTCAAATACCTATTTGTGGGAATACTATTGAGTTAAAAAGGTTAATATTTCCGCTTCCGAACTACTGATAAAATTTCTTAGAAATAAGACGAATAGTTTATCATAAGAGATACCCGGACTACTTTTCAAAGATGTTTATTTGACCCTTGAATTGCTATTTATATTTTTAGATAGAAAATATAAAAACAAGCCAATTATTTTATGTTTCTACGCTATGTAAATACACAATAATACTCAATGCGAATCGAGTGCAGTGACAGATAACAGTAAACGTACGTAAGATATCTTCAACCAATCGAGGCTTAATGTTTATTTTTTTAAAATCATTCACTAATCTCCGCCAAAGAATTTTTATAACGAAAGTTATCAAAAATTCTACCTGCTTTAAATCAGCGCTAGGGCTGAACATCTATACAGAAATGTATATGCATTTAATAAAATATATTATGCGACAGAAAGAGAGGTTCAAAATGGGGTGGCAGAATGAGATAGCTGTAAGGATATAAAGAGGGTGGATCGACCCCTGACGACATCGCAGCCACCACGCCGCGCCCTTTCAGAGAGTGGAAGCAGACTGCTAAAGTAAACTGGCTAACAACATTCTATACAATATTATCAAATGTTAAATTTAAAATAACGATCTCGATCGCACTGATAAAATGAATATTTTTCATTATTTAATACAATAAAATGAAGCTTAGATTTATACGGTGTATCGTTAGGAAGACTTAAAAAAATTAGTATAGACGAGAACGTGTCATGAGCGCTATTATTCATCATTCTAAGTTAAATATTTCAAGAGTCAAAAACGTCTGTATATCCGTCTCGCGAGCGGCTGAGAGTCATGCCGCAGAGGGCCATGAACTCATTCTTTATTACAAAGAGTTCATCTCGTACGTGCGATATGATATAGGAACTATTAGAATGTATTCACAAAAACGACTTCATTCCTAATGAAGCCAAGAAAATATGACTTTATATAAAGAATCGTTGGATACGGAATTAAAATACTATATTTCTTTAGTGTATAATATTTCAATTCGGTGATTTGATATTGAATGAAATCCTATAAGTTTTGTTCGAAGCAAAAAAAAAATGTCAGGAAATGGTTTTGCAATACTTTATACTAGTAAAAGAAACTAGTTTAAGTAATTCATTATACTACATGTGCTCTGTTTAAGATAAAAATAAAACTATACGTTCCTTATATAAGTCGTACACAAAAAGTTTTGACATTGAGAGCAACTTTTATGTTTAATTTCCAATAATACCCTGAGATACTCAGGTAAAGAGTCGAAGGCGTTTCATAGCGACGGTATTTTTTGAAGACCAGTCCATAGCGCAGACGGCAGACATAAAATATATGAGTATATCAAACATATATAATTAAAATGCCATTTTTATCTTAATAGTTTCAGTGTTATATTAAAAATGGTCGCGGATTACAACAGACGCGCCGTGAAACGCGAGGGGCCGCTTGTCCTCGAACCTGACCGGCCTGTGTCGCCTTGAACTCATACTGCTACAAATGCCTCTAGTCTACGATACACTTAATTATCACCTAAATCAACTCAATACCACGTGGATAGATGATAGATAACATTTATTACGTTAACGACAATTAATTATACATATTTTAGTAAGGAAGTCATTTTTTATTTAATATTTTATCTTAAACGTATATGAATAAGCAATTATAAATTATACTTCTTGATAGATAATAATGTTCCATTTAAATATACGTTTAAAATTTAACCCCCTATATAAAACCCGGAAGAGTTTAAGATACGAAGCTAATTTTACATTCAGATACCTACCTTTATCAGTAATTTATGGCATGTTACATTTAAATATACATTAAGTAGGATATTTTATAGAATTGTATACTATAAAACATACAAATTATAAATGTAATTATTGCTTATTTATACCTTTAAGAGTATATTTATGAATTTATTAAGTTTTTATTGGTGCAAAAGTTATAAAACGTTATGGTTAGGTTTTTATATAATAAACAATGTTCCAAGATACATGATCTCAAGTTTTCTTGCAGTATATACAGTAGGCAACTCTTCAAATATATTTAGTTTATTATTAGTAACTATTATTTGAATGTTCTTCGTGTTTTATTTCGAATGTATACATGGAATAATATGTTGTTTCGCTTGATAAATAATTGGAAAAAGTTGCTTGGCGCGAAAATAATTCAGATTAGTTTCCACGATGCGCGCGCATGAGGGGTTCTTTATCGATTGGTCGCTAGCACTCTCCCCTCCGTCTGCTTTCCTGCTCTAAAGGGAGGGAAACTAAAATATTCCCGGAGTGAACTTTCATATATTTAATATTTCCGCGCTAACTATAACATATATAATCTCATATAATACTACATATTTTTCATTAACTGTTACATTTATCACAACTAGATGAATAATAATTTTTGTTATAATAACGAAATTTAATGTTGTCAAACAAGTTGGTTTTCAAATTCTGTTTGTTCAGTCTTTATTGAATGATAACACCTGCCGTTTCGGCCAATGCCCCGTTGTAATGAGTATTATTACCTTAAAATTGTCATGAGCAATCATTGTCAAGATATTATTATATAAAAACAAAAAACAAATTTCTTTAGAAATATGTTTAGAATCTACTTTATAGTGAACTAATAAATGTTTTACTGCAATCCTTAATGAAACTATGAATGGCAGCTTATAAACAAAGTCAGTTCAAAACACATAACTTCTAGGTTCATTTACCTAGGCTCAGACTAGTTAGATAAGTACATTGTTGAACCCAGAACCACGTTGGTTGAGTTCAACTCACACTTGACCCATTTTAAGTACGACATAAGTGCATTTCTTTACATATTGTAAAATTTATTCAAGAAATAAATGTAAAGAATAAATATAAACGGTAAAATAAAATTTTACTTTTCCTAATATTGCCGTAGGTACTTGTATCGTGAATAGTTTATAAAACGTTTAATAGAAATTCCGAATGGTTATCACTCGAATTGTCAGTGTAAAGATTTATTAAGGTAATTATTGAAAGCTAATCAAAATGTGAGGAAACTTTGTTTTCGTTTACATCGTACGCCAACCGTTAATATTAGGGGAGAGTGTAACGGCTGACGGAGTATACGACAGGTGTGTGTGTGCGTGTATCCAATGTCTACACAGTAACATTCACACATACAACGTCAGGTTGCAGCCAGTCCCTTTTCGTCGAGTGTACTTCACAGAGTAATTATCAGTATTTCATATTTTAAATTCTTTAACGTAACCAAATCTACAGCATGTTGAATTATTAAATATCTAGTCCTTTAATGTTCAAATTAGTTTATTTTAATATTATGTTTATTTTTTATATTAACAAATTTTAAATAGACTTAACTTATATTATCGAATGTACGACTAGATGATATTTGTATAAATTAACTTTAATTTAAATTTAATATATTAATCATAATATGACAGCTGCATTTTGTTACTCTGTGCTAGTCTACACTACAGCACGGCACACAACTACATTTACAAGGTGCACTCATTGTTAAACGTTTTGAAATTCTCGTTCGGAACCGGCCGTGGGAACCGCATTACTGCTCCGTAGACAAGAAACTAATCTGATAGAAAACATTTAATGATAACTTAATGTAAAACGAACTTGGACAACTGACTCATCTTAAATATCAACTTTAAAGCGACTTCAATTACGATGTTTTATTAAAATATGATAAATATATGAAGATAACGATAGTAATTAATCTGTTTCCGGATAAAAATCCAGTATGCATTCAATAGTCCTTACGGGTACTTGAAAGTTTTCAGATGACATAATTATACGATGCTCCAGAACGAAATCTTCATTCGAATTAATGATATAAAAAAAATTCTTGTTAATCACTTAATACCGGGATAGTTGACTACAACCAATATTAGCAGCAGAGCTTTAAATTCTACGCTTACGCTTCTTACAAGTAATTTCCGTGTTTCAAACTATAGGTTTGAAGTTGATAGGAAGATATTTGATATTACTTCTTAGTAATAAAAGATTAATACAAAACTCAAGGGGTTTCTAAGACTGGTTTTGAATTAATAAAATACTTAATTTAGTTTTTTTTCTGATTCATAAATTAAAGTATGAAATCAAATATGAGAGTATTATTTTTTTCCCTTTTATAATTACAAGATTTAAATTGGAGATATATTTCAAGTCATATAATCACGAAGTGCGAAATAAGAATTCATAATTTACTGTACAAACCACATATTTCATCGCTGGCAAAGTGGCGCCGTATAATACACAAAAATTACATTAATGTAGTTCAATATTAAAAGCAACATATGTAAGTCATTAGTTTAGGCAACGGAAGAATTGTCTATACCGTACATTGGGTCTAAACAAATATTTATCTTCAAAACAGCATTAAAAATAATAATAATAAAAATTATCCTTCACCCCACTCTAACGAGCGGTGAATGAATGTGAGAGAAAGAGAAGGCATATGAAACATTTTGTCCGTTACAAATAATACTTAACCGCGTGTTTACATTTGTGTTATTAGTATTTATGCGAAAAATTCATTCAAATTTAGCATATTTGTTACTTTATTCTCTTGTAATAGGTAACAATATGGTTATCTCAACGATACTCATAATGGTTCCAAGGAAACCGACTACGTAATACAGGAGAAAAATTTCCCGCCATTTTCGACACTGATTATTTTGTAACATACAAAATATTACAATATAACTCTATTAACAATAACAATCTTAATCGTAATTTGGTTATTCGTAAGATATTCAACATATATAAAACGTTTAATGAATGAATGACATTAAAAAGAGCGGGACACAACTCTGTTACTTTCTCATGGTCCATATTAAACTGAAAAACATGTCAGATTATAGGTTTACCCTTTGAAATGTACTCACCGAATATTTATTCAAATAAATATCCTTATGCTCAATAGAATAATCCTGAATTTCACACATTTACGTTTTTAGCGTCATGAAATTGACAAATATAACACCACTCACTCCATAGACTACACTGTTTTGCTATGTGAAAAAGTACACAAAGAATGATTTGTTTTGCTATTGGAGAATTCAAACCACGTGACTGACAATCCGGCCGTGCTATTGGCTGCCAGTACAATGTATATTGACGTCACCGTTGTTGACCTACTTTTTTCGTGTAAAATAAATTATTTAAAGGCTTCAACACCTTTTTACTATTCATTTTAACGATTTTAAATTATTATATAACTTTTTAGTGTAAAATTTCAATATTTAATTGTTGTAAATACATAAAAAGTCTAACTTACCATTTGCCGTGACTTGCCTACTTTCGACAACATGGCGGTTTGTTTACACCGGCATCATAAGGCGGGAAGTAGTTTAGTAGTTCTTGTGTAGATATTTATTAATATGGTATCTTAGAAATAATTTGGGGTCATGAAAGAACATATTTATTAAGATAAACACTATAATAATAAAGAGGGAATGCTTAATAATCAAAAACATGTCACATAGTATAAAGTTATAACATTTACACCAGCGCCCCCTAGAAGTACGCGGCGATTTCAAATATAACATGTCACATTGTAACAAAATGAGTAATCCAAACCTTAACTATTAAAAACAAACAAATCGAGTAAACACAAAACTTATAACAATCTTAATTATTTAACATTTTAGTATAGGCACAATCCATCTTACTAATAAAAGGCAGCTCGCTAAAGTTATTGAAATATTTTATGGTATTTATTATTAATTTTGCTTGAATATCAAATACGAATAGAAATTGTTTCTTTAAAGCTGTAGAATTTCCATGGAGGTACATTCAAATCATGACAAGGATTGACAAACGAAAAGCCCGGTCCAGTTATGAAATAAAATAACGTACAAAAGAATATTCCGGCTTCTGACAAAAATTGTTAACACAAATATTTAAGGCGGATTCATTCTATGCAAAGAATAAAAATTATTTAAAATTTGGACAATTTTAGATTTCTATTTCTTTTATACAATTCATAGGTACCTTGCCTCTTAATTTTTTTATTGTATAAATAATCATTTTTAAAATTATCTACTGTGCTGGCCTGAGCAACAAATTTAGTCTCTTTAGGAATTATATTGACTTTAAACGTAGTAGTATACCCCTGATTGGAAATAGAAGCAGTAGGCACAAACGGTAACACTTTGGGTTTAATAATTTTTCCTTTTGATTTTTTCTTTTTACATTCATCAATATCATCATCGTCGAGATAAACACTTTCTTCCAAATAATTCGACGGCTTAGCCTTCCGTTTCTTAGTTTCTTCAACAATAAACTCCGTTGTTGATATTGCTTTCATCTTCTTAGACTTTGGCTGTACTTTGGGTTGTGGTTTGTCATCCAATTGTTCTATTACACTTGTCGGTAGACGCGATATAGGAGCCTTTTCAAATGAATTTTGTTTTGATATCTGTAATATTTTATTTAATAAATTATCCAAGATATTTAAATACAAAATAAAGTATTTGTAAAGTTTACCTTTGTTATATTATTTCCTTCGTCGTCTTCTCTTTCCTTTCGTTTCTTGCTTTTTTGTTTCTTTGGTACATTAACTTTCACCAAATTGTCACTGTCCTCAACTTCAATCTTATTTGCCTGTATTGTGACTTCTGCAATTAAAGTGTGATGTAGTAACAGATTTAAAAATAAGTTTAATTTGTTTATATAGTTCTAAAATTACCGTTTGTTTCTTGTTGGGATATTTTTCGCTTTTTCTTTTTGTTGCGAACTAGTGATTCATTTAACAAAGGTGCTTGAACATCTGAAAATAATTTACTGTGTAGTTAGTGTGCATCAATTAGTAATAACAATTTTCACCGCAGCTTGAATTTTTGATTAATTAAATTAATTGATTAATTTTATTTTGTTTTTCGTTAATTTAAAACATGTTAAATTTACCCTCGACTATCACCGAAGATTCTTCAACTTGAGGAGTCAGCGACAATTTTCTTTTACGCTTTTTGGATTCTTTTTCAGGGTCTTCTAAAAAATTGAATAATATAATACTATCACTTTTGTATTACATGTTATTATGTTTTGTATGACAAATATAAATAGCAGTAATTTATAAATAATGTTAAAACATTCCCTATTATTATTGAAGTTTATTAAAAAAAATGAATATATGTATGTTGGTTTTATTATATTCATTTAAGAACAAACCTTTGGAATCGGAAACATTTTTCTTTTCACTGCCTGGCGTCTTGATTGTAGAAATATTAAGCGCTATTTCATTAGAATCTGATGGAAAAAATTAAATTATTTACTGTGTTTTATATGTATCCTTTTATATACATTGAATTAGCAATTTGGTTGAAACAATTTACTTATTACAAATAATCACAATTACCTTCTGAAATAGATTTTTTTTTCTTTCTTTCACTTCCTGGAGTTTTTGTCATGGATTTTTGTAATACATTGTGACTTTCTAAGTCTGAAATAACAAAGCATACTGTAGATTTGCTGTTAGGATAAAACAATATACAGTATTGGAAAAATTTAGGAATACCAATTACCTTCTGAGATAGATTTGTTTTTCTTTCTTTCACTTCCTGGAGTTTTTCTCATAGATTTTTGTAACACATTGTGACTTTCTAAGTCTGAAATAACAAAGCATACTGTAGATTTGCTGTTCGTATAAAACAATATACAGTATTGGAAAAATTAAGTAATACCAATTACCTTCTGAGATAGATTTGTTTTTCTTTCTTTCACTTCCTGGAGTTTTTGTCATAGATTTTTGTAACACATTGTGACTTTCTAAGTCTGAAATAACAAAGCATACTGTAGATTTGCTGTTCGTATAAAACAATATACAGTATTGGAAAAATTAAGTAATACCAATTACCTTCTGAGATAGATTTGTTTTTCTTTCTTTCACTTCCTGGAGTTTTTGTGACAGATCTATTGAACAATGTTTCGCTTTGTGAATCTGTAACAAAAAGTACATTAAAGTATTTTGTAGGAAGATATGAACTTGTTTAAAATCTATTAAAAGGTTGATGCATTTACCATTGTCAGCTAGTTTTGGTGATTTGGTGATTGATGCTATTGCTTTTTTGCTGCTACCGGGAGTTTTGATTAAACTTAAGTTATCATATTGATTGTCTTGTTCTGAAATAAAAATAAATATATTTATAAGATATAAAAAGGTCTCAGATAAATTTATGAAAATTGTGTGTGTTATAAAAGATGTGATACCTTCATGTACCGAATTATTCTCTGGTAGTTCACTAATTGACTTTTTCTTTTTCTTTGCCCCCACAGAAGTATTTAAAATTGATGTGGTGAGTTCAACATTTTCTAAAATTAATCACAAATTAGTTTATAGTATTGAAATATGTTATTATAGTGAATGTATACAAATTTGGGGAATATAATTAGTATTTTATATAATTTTATACAAATCAAAATTTATTTAAAATAAATGGCTTACCATCATCTTCAACATTCTTTTTCAATGTATTTTGCTTCTGTTTTTTACTTATTGGAGTTTTAGCAATAGACTTGTTGAATGATTTTTCTATGAAGGTATCGTTTGAATGATCTAAACAAATTTGTCATTATTTTTAGATAATTTCTTAAGTACAACAGTTCTATAGTAAATTCTGATTTTATTTATAAATATTTAGCAGCACCTACCTATTGCCTCAACATCTTGACCCAGAGACTTTTTAGCACTCTTTGGTGTCTTGACAACCGATATGTTCAATGATACATTATTTTGTTCATTGTCTGTCAATAAAAGAGAAATAATAATAATAAATTAAATAAGGGAGTACAATTGAAAATGAAATGAAATTTAAAATTACCTTCTGTAGATTGTGTCTTTATTTTCTTTTTCTTTTCACTGACTGGTGTTTTGACAAGAGACTTATTTAATGATTTGTTTAATTTTGACTCTGAAAAAAAAAAAGTTTAGAGTAATTAAAAATTATATATCTTTATTTGTTACTACGGCAAGCTAGCATAATTAAGGATTTTAAAAATTCAGAAGAAGATACTTATACTACTTTATATATTTTCTGTTATACATACCATTTTCATCTTGTGAAACTTCAATTGTTTCTTGAACTTTGGATCCTTGTTTTTCTTTCTTGAAAGATATCTCCATTGGTGCATCGGAATCAGAACTGTCACTAGCTACAGAACAATAATAGGTTTAATAACACAATTAACAATAAATGTATGCTATATAGAAAATTTGGAACATATATATGTATTACCATGTTGCTCCACTTTTTTTGGTGTTGGTTTCTTTGCACTTCCAGGTGTTTTAGTCATTGATTTGTTAAGTGACTTATTTAAAGTAGAATCTGTATTAGAAATATATTTAATTAATTAAATATATGCAGTGTATTTCTTACAAGTAATTCAGAACTTGAAACAAATAGAGATTTTGATTAATTTTGTATGGTTAAACAAGTTTTATATGTACCTTTGATTTCTTTTTTAGGACTTGCATTAAATTCTGCTGGCTCTTCTTGGGAGGAGATTTCCTCAGAATCTGAGTCCACTGAAAATGAAATTAGATACAAAATAATAAATATTATCTCCTTATCTTTGATGTATGACTTATCATGTTGTTTTAATAAAATTGAAATAGTATAAGTTGTTGTTGAAACTTAAACAAACAAGTTTCATATTTAGAACTACTTTAATATCATTATTTTTAAGTAAGTATACACAAATCTCACCATTTTCTATAATTGAATCCTTATTGTCTTTCAAACTCTTTTTATGTGACTTATTAAGTGTATTATTATGTGTACCTTCAGTGTCAATGAAGAAACCAACATTATCATCTTCTGTATCTGTAAATGTAAAAGTCAAATCAAAATTTATATCGAAAAGTAAAAATTATGTAATCATGGTATGAAAAGATAAAACATACCAGTAGCAGCCTTTTCTAATTGAGATTTACGTTTCTTATTCTTCTTTCCACTTTGTTTAAGAGAAACATTTCCAGATTGATCATTTATGTCTGTAATTAAAATATTTAAATGGTAAATATGTAAATACTTTTTATTATGAACATATTAAAGTTTTTTTTTTGTATAAATAACCAACCTTCTTCAACTATGATACTTTTAGATTTCTTTATAGGTGTGGACTTATCTTCATTATCAGCCATTTTCTTTTTTTTGCTTTCACTATCATTGCTGTCTTCAGAGAATAGTAAATGTAAGTCAATAGAATCAGAAGAATCTTGATCATTCTTTGAATTATCTTGCTCCTTGCTTATTTTATTTTCTGTGTCTATTTTCTTAATAACTTTTTTTTTAGATTTCACTTGTGTTAAATTCAATTCATCAACTAAACTATTTTTATCTTTTTTCTTTGATTTTTTATCAATATTAAGTGAAATGTCACATGTTTTTGTTTTGATTTTATTGGATTTGTTTAAGTCATTTAATATAGAATCGTAATTCTGCATAATTTCTTGATTTTCACTGCTTAAAGAATCATCATCATCATCATCCATCGCTTCTAGAGGATCTTGAAGCTCTGTTTGAGTTTTAGTGGATTCATTCTTATCATTATTTGTATCTTCAGAATCTATGAAAGCAATTGTTTCATTAGCATTTTTGAGTGGTGTTTTTGGTTCTTGTTTAATTTGAGACAGTGGGTCGTTTTCTTTCATACTCTCTTCAGCTATGGTCATTTCCTTTTCATCAGCAGCTTCCTCACAAACAGACTCAGATAGCACTGGAGTTTTTTTCTGAGATACAGTCTCATTTTCGTCCTCACTATCGTTACTTGAATCTAATCGCATTCTATTATTCTTCTTAGGCTTTTCTGACTCGTCTTCTGATTCAGACAATTCCTCGGAAGAGCTAAGTTGTTGTTGGGATTTCTTTTTGGTTTTATTAATTATTTTGTGACGCGACTCATACATTTCTCTGGATGCTCTTTTTTGTTCTTTCAGTTTCCTTTCATCATACTTTTTCTTAGATTTAGGTGTCATTTTAAGCTCATTGTCGCTCATAGAAAGATCATCTTCTGTTCCTTCTAATAGTTCGTTATCTTCTTCATCCGAACTAACGACAAATGAATCTTTTTCATAATCGGAATCATCAGACAGGTCATCACTTTCGGATGTCAAAGTTTCACCTTTCTCTATGATCTCGTTTTCTTCTGCGTATCGTCTTTCGCTTTCATTTTGGCTGTCTCCAGATTGGTAATCATTTCCGGCATCTTCGGCTTCATCATCTAACATATTACTTTCTTCTGATTCATCGTCAGATTCATCTGAATTTGAATCATCAGATGTTATTTTGTTCTGCTTTGAACCTTTTGATTTTAAATTCTTGGATATTTTTATTGGAGTTTCTTGACCCGATTCATCATTTTCAGCTTTTTTATTTTTGGACAAATTCAATTTTTTCAACTTATTGCTCGATGAATCTTTTGAAGGTTCCTTGTTAACAGATATATCCATTTTTTCTTCATATTCAGTATTAATAATATTTTTGTTCTCCTTATTAGATAAGTCATTTTCATTTAAATGACTAGCATTGGTTGCTTTCTCCGAATTATTATCCATATTTTCTATAACAAGAGCACTATCATTGTTTGATGCAATTATTGAAGTGTTGACTTGCATGGCTAATTTTTGAATTGATTTATGTTGGAGCGGAGTGCTTGTTAAGTAATTAAGAGAAATATTTTTATTGTTGGTTTCTTCTTGGGTTACGTCTAAATCAAAGGCTGACTTTGATAATAATTTATTTTTAGGTTTGGGTGATTTCACATCAGAAGTATTCTTCAGGTGAGTTGATATTAGATCACTTTTATTCTCATTATTTAGAGATTTATTTCCTTTATCATTGTTAGATACATTTGTCTCCACATCACTGGGGAATGATTTTCTAGATTTATCATTTGCTTTTGTTTCGGTATCAGTAATGACCATACTGTCAGGAATTGTCTCATCTACATCCATTGGTTCACAGCTATTGTCGGTGATAGTTCTATTTTTGGATTTATTTAATCGTATGCTATGATCTTGGGTAACTGAAAATTGATTGACCTCTTGAATATTTTGTTCAGCATGTTCTATAACTGGGACGCATTGATCTCCACTATCATTTATATCTTGAACATTAGTTTTGCCTGAGTTGGAATCGGAATCTTCAATCACCACTACAGTCTTAATCTCTCCAGTTGGATTTGTATATAACACACTTGTGCTGTCCTCGATTTGAAGTTGTTTGTCTCTTGATTGATTTTGAATATCTTCAACTGTTTCTATATCTTTAGAATTAACTGATTTATTTGCATCCTTAACAATAGATTTATTAATTTCATTGCTGTTCTTTGATTTATTTAAACTTAAGCTTTTATTTTGCTCATCTTTTGACTCGGAAACATTCAAATTAGAGGTAGATTTTAAATTTTTCTTGATTTTGTTCTTCAAGCTTTCATTGTCACTGAAAAAGTTGCTTTCATTTGATTCTTTTTCTGCTGTCCATGATTTTGTACGATTTCTCTTTATTTTTTCGACATTATGTAGTACAACAACTGGGGTGCTTTTGTTTAGATTGATTTTATTTTTCTTTAAGTTTCCTTTTGTGTCTAAATCTTTTATTAATTTTGAACTTGATATTGATAGTCTGTCTTGTTTTGTTTCTTTAGTATCTAAGGATTCAGATGGAGTTGAATTCTCTTGTGGAATTTCATTTGTTTTTTCTATAGGTGTCTCTTGATTAGAGTTAGATTGATCAGTAACATCTTCAGTCTTATTTATACTCTGGTTTTGTTTGTTTACTAGACGCGGGCTTCGCCTAAAGCTATTTGGTGATACACTTGTCTTATCTTCTACTTCAGGATTCGTAGATTTCCTTGAATTAGTTTCTGGTTCTTCAACAATGACTTCTGTTATTTGTATTGGAGGTTTTGAAGGCGGTGCCACTTCAACTGAAATATTGATCAAGTTTTATGTATTAATATGTGACTGGAAATCTTACTAAGTAATATTGTTATTTAACAAGAATTTAAGTAAAACCTTTTTCTATACTGGATGTAGAATCCTTTCGTGTTCTGCGAGTTGCTCTTACAGGTGTTGGTGGAGCTTCATTATCACTTCCTGGAAAATTTTATGTAGAAGTATATAAGACCATTTTCTTTACTATACATATTTTTTAAATAACAAAACATGCCATTTAATGAATTGAATGTAAATAAAGAAGTAAGAAAAAAAATCTACATAATTTTAATTGCAATGTAAATATTCAATAAACAATAAATAAGATTATATTATTATACAGGGTGACTGGTGAATTACTATCGATACTTGAGGACGTGATATTTGATGATCATATTATATGACAAAATAAAAATTAATATAACATAAATATTAATAAACTTCTAAGTAAAGTTAACCAAAAGTTATGTAATTAATTACGCATCGTGTGAACACCTTACAGATTAGGTATACACACACACACGCGCGTCCGGCGGCGTGGTGTTGTATCAGCACGCCGCCGCACGCGTCCACATTTGGAACACTTGGAACGTGTCCACACTTTATTTATTTATACGGAAATTTGGTCAAAAATTAAGTACTAATTTTTTTTACATAATTCGAATGAGAATCATGTACCGAGTATTCTCCTTAAATATTGATAGTAATTCACCAGTCACCCTGTATACTGAAAATAATTAACTGGTTTTTTTTCATGTAGCTCCAACACAATTATATTTTTAATATCTTGACTTATCACAATCAATTAGAATCAAAATCTGTGTAACACTTAATTATTTTATTTAAAAATGAGTATCTATCACTAATGAATATCCTCAGAAAAGAGTTCTCATTATTTTGTTTTTTCTAGGGTGTGTGTAAACTGAATCTATTGTTGTGTATTATTTATATATTAACCAATTTGCGACGTCCTTCTGGTTGCTCTTTTGGCTCTCGGAGAATTAACAGCCACTGTGGTCTCAGATGCAATACTTGTGTTAGACTTTATTCTAGTGCTACGCCGTGCAGGAGTCAAAGGTTTTTCTTCTACACTTTCAATTGCCTCTTTCACAGTAGCCTTTCTTGTTCTTGGTGGTTTTGGACTTTCAGGTGCTAAAATAACAGGTATTCTCAATATATGTCAAATTTCAATTTAATCATTGAAATATAAGTTGAAAATAAGATGTTTATTTTGTAGAAATTCTAAGTAATATCATGAATGATATTTTATTGCTTCAGCGAAGTACTAGTTTTAAATAGAACTCTTTTACAAAACTACAGTTTTACTATAATAAAAGTTTATAATCTTTATAGCAAAGCTAATGGTTTCAATAAAAATATATATAATTATTTATACTTTAAATTACTATGTCTTAGTGAAGGTGTTTAATGTATTGGTTTCTTAATACTTGTAAGTAGCAGAAATTGTTTACAAAACTCACTATTTTCATCAATAAGTTCAAGTTCAGGTTTCTTCCGACCCCTTCTCTTGGTAGGTGTGTTCAAAGCTGGGGATTTGCTTTCTTCTGACTGCTCTACTGATAGCCTTCGTCTTAGCCGTGTTACTGGTGCTACAATTAAATAAGTAAAAATATTGTTGCAACTTTTACTTCAGACATATATAAAAAATTTCAAAACAAATCTATTATTATTTAAACTATTTATAAATATTTTAGTTTTTAAGTATATAAAAATAACTTAATTATTTTATTATAAATTACTAAATATTTAAATTCGTAACTTGTCAAGCACAAGTTGACTATTAATATATAGTTGTAGTAAGATAAAAATAGAATATTATATTTTAGTTGGGTAATTATTAAAAAACAATATAAAATAAGGTGCACACCAGCATCCACAAAATTATTTAAAATTAAAGAATTGTAGAAATATCTTACGCTCAATTGCATTATTTTTAAACAAAATACAAATAAGTTATTTTTCTTTTAGCGTTTAACACAAAGACGTTTAAAAACGTGTTTCATGTTCTATGATTATACTATTAACTACGAATCATATTTAATTAAAACTAAAGATACATTCAAGTACTTAAAGGTCCCTTATCCGATATTTTATAAGAGCACTTAAAGAGGCTTTGAACAGGATACCGATAATGCGTAATTCGAATAAAGTATGTCTCTTATTACATTTGTCTTACATAAGCAATTATACACACCTTTAACTCCTGTGTCTTCCTCCATGGTTTAAAAAATCAGATATAACGAAAATAATATTCAAAATGTTGGACAAACACGTGTGAAAGACCGAACCGATTCAAAATTGCGCTTTGAGGTTGAGATAATGGTCCAACAGCTGTTGAGACGCCGCGAACTGTCAATTCAAAACCGACGCGGCGTGTTGAACGTTCGAATCGGAGAAACTGGCAACATTTTATATTATTTACTATTTCTGTTTTTAAAGTATATTCATATACAAAAGAGGCGTAAAACCTTTTATCACCCTGCAACCAAAAAACTACATACATTTTTAATATGATGGGTTTTATTAAACGATCAGATTTTATTTTTACTCTTTATTTTCAGGCCTTCTAAGCTATACAATAACTTAAATGAGCAAATGTAGCAACATTAGTGCATCTAAAACTATTTACAGGCATTAGTTGTGGTAACGCAATCTGTAGACCATTGTGTGGTATTATTATTTACTATGAGTGCTTATGATTGCTTCATATAATTATAATAGATAGATTAGATTAAAGATAACAAATTATGCATACCAGTATTTGTTATATTCTATGTAAGTTAAAAGTTTAACAAATTTCTTATCTGACATATTTTGCCGAGTGTAAATTAAAGCAATGTTTAGCAAAATTATAAAGATCAACAATTTTTACAGTTCGCTACAGGTTGTCAAAAAAACCTTGAATTATATGTAAATAAGTATTACATAATGTTTCTACTGTTACTGAATGAACAGATTACAAGTGAGTAGGCGTTAAATTTTTCTGATGTATTCACATAAGAAAAAGAGTATGTCAAAAACATATTTTAAGATAAGCCTTTTTTATCCTGCCAAATTCCATCTGATTTTCGAGACATTTTACTTCAATGTGAATTTTAAAAAAATATTTTAGAAACAATAAAACCATATTTACGTTCGTTCTGGACGTTGTTCTAGACACTTGAATTGAAAATGTTGTTCAATATGTTGCACAATATAGTTTTAATAAACTGTTTAACATGTATTAGATATAATTTTACTAAATGAGTAATAAAATAAAATTTCCTTTTAACGTTGCAGAGTTGTCATTGGATATAGTAAGAAATTGATAAAAACTGTTTATGAATTTTGGTTTTAATTTCTGTTAATAAATAAAAAAAAAAAATTATAATAAGTCTATTTTTAGTCGAGTAATGTATTTTTGAATTTAACGCTCATGGATTCCGTCTGCCCGTTATCGATGTTGTGACGTCATAATGCCAAAACACTTCTAAATTTAACTCAATTATACTAACCACATGCGCAATAAGTTCTTGAAATCGAATCTTTACATATTATTAAATTTAATTTGGTCTAGTTAACTGTTTGGGGGTTGGAACTGGTGGGATATTGAATTATAATAATTTTTAATAAGCTATCCCCCTATAATACAACCAAGGGTTACCGAAAAGCTATCCATGATCAATGATGTTGTGATATATGTTTATAATAATATGAACAATATACTGAGGGATTATTAAATTAAAATGAAAATAAGTTATTCGTATAAGTATTAAAATAATATAAAACCTGTAGTATCCGCAATGTTTAGTTTCATTTAAATGAGTCCAAACGATAATCTTAAATAGATGATTCTAGAATTCTAAATACTTCTCTTAATTTTGTAACTGCAATTTTCTTGTTTAATTAATCCAACATTAGTGAAGATATAAGTAGAAACTAGAATGTATCATGTAGTTATGAATTTTGCACTTAATATTAAATTGTTCATATTGAAGAGAAACTTTCGGACAGTACCCTATATATTTTATACCGTAATATATGTTATGTGCTATTTATCGTTTTGTAATTAGCTGTTATATTAATAATTATGTTTTTAAAATCATTTTTCGGTGCTGCTTGTAAAACTTACTTTTTTTTTGATGACGCAGGGGAAACTCTTTTTACGAGCCGTCCAACCGGCCTTGGTGGGGCCGGAAGGGATGTGTGAGGCTTGGCCTGGGCAGGCCCCTACTCACTAAAACCACTGCGAAAGCCATCGGCCGCTATGTTGGTGTACCCCGGATCTGTCAGCGACAGGGTACACCAGCGACTGGCCGGTCCTGGCAAAGACCGGACTTACTCCCTCGGAGAATGGGGGCGATCCCGGCAATTAGGATCGCCCCGACGACGCCGGGATTTAATTAGAGCCGGGTTACCAAGCCGACCCCAGCCCGGAGCGTAAAGGTGCTATTGGAGGCGTCGATTTTGTAGCCCTAGTGCCTTCTCTTAATATTAGTTCCTTAATATTAATAAATTTACTGGAACGTACCTTTAACAATATTTTTATACTTATCGGTTTAATATTTCTTCTTTCTTAAACAGATAAAACCTTTAAAGAATAAATTTTATTTTTAGATATATTTCAATTTTATTTAAGTTTTATGCTTTGAATACAATTTATAGAAACTTTTGCTCTTCCACTGTATATTTAGTCAATAAGCTTGTCCAGCGTTTCTCTGGTGCAAAGCAAACATGCAAGCTTCAGGCTTTGAAGTAGCAATAAACTACGAAACATTGCGGCTTAAAAGTCCAATATCTCAGGTCAAAGCGTTCTGTTGAAATACGGCAGTCTTCATCTGATTTTCAAATATAATAGTGGATAGGTACAATAATTTTAAGCTATGATTTTAATGGAAAAGTTGAGAACTTTCTAAATGAAATAATAATAATATTATAAGATATTTAAAAATAACTTTAATAAATTAAACGATAGGTTTATTTATGTATATAAAGTATACAAATGTATTCAATTAAGTCAAATGCGGTTGTAAATCGCCATTTTTTTATAAAATTCCTAAATTCAATAGTATTCTGAACAAACTGACAAGGTTTTTTTTTAAATTACATAGTAGCTGTTATTGAAAAAATATATAACCAGTTTAAATATTCCCATAATCTTAATTGAAATAAGTGAAAATGTCTTGTTTATTAAATATTTATCAAGACTATTAATAAATAATTAGTAGTAAAATGTTACTGCTATATTTGCACGTTCTTATTTTAAAAATAAAAAAAAATATCGAAGTCTCTGACAGATATATATTTTTTTAATGCTATATCTTCATTCGCACTGGACATTTAATTTAAAGAAGTTTATTTTCATAAAACAATTAGGGTATACGCCAGTGTCAATGTCAATCTTACAATAATAAAATTATTGATTTCAGTACATAGTTTTTCTTTAAAATTTGCTTTATTAACTTTAAATCAAGTGATTATACAATAATATTGAAAGCTGATATCCTCGGAAAGATTTATTATTATTATCAGATGACGTCTTATGGACGACGTCGAGCTTACATCCGTTATTACATTGTGATCCAATTTACCTTCCCGGTCATGTTTTCACGTTTCGGTAATTTAATTATTTAACAACGTAATCGGTGCTTTAGTAATATCAGGCTAACGATTATGTTAGTAATATTTTTTTTTAAATAAAAACGACCAAATAAACTGTTTCCTCATCTAACAATCGATAAGATTATTACAGGTGTATTACCTGAGATTACATTACGAGACTTTCTTGAAAGTAATACATATTTGATATTTAGTATAATATTTTTGTAAAGAAAATAGGATATATGTATCAGATAATTTATCATTGTTGAACGTATATACATACCTTAAAAACAATATGTCAAAAATATAAGAAAGTATGTATAATGCCTTTCGCAATAATTTACGAAATTATAAAAAAAAGACGTTATTATCCTTAGGCAAGTTTCTGAAGTTTCATCCTAATGTTTCCACATTATGGTTTATCGATTTTTCTATAATTATTTCAACCTAGAATATGTAATATAAAATAAAGAAGCATATCTTTGAATATGAATATAAATTTTACAATGCAACCAACTAACAAAACATGAAGCCAGGGATCAAGTCACAGAATAAATTCTACAAAACGTTTTGTTTGGTTTACATATTGTTCGGACTTATATTTTGTTCTGTTCATACATAAATGACAAAGATGCTTTTTATGAAATATGAATTCAATTCTTTTTCTATGGCTGTAGCTGATTCAAGCTGCATATGAAATAAATTTATAAGGGATGGGATGTTCGATATACTTTTTCTTTGATTTTGCGTTATACTTGTATGTTCTGATAAAATATCTTGATAAATAGGATGTAGTTTAATCGTATTATGAGCAAGCAAATTTAACTTCTTTTTAAAATGTTTTAAGAACTATTTTCGGTTTTATTCAATTTTATTTGCATTTATATAGAAGAAGAGATTTCTTTGCGTGATTGTATATTTTTGTTCACTTATGATACCGCAAGGATTGTTATCACATTTTAGTAAGGCGTAGGCTATCTCTTGGAAAAATACAAGAAAAACATTCCATTTAAGAATACTTGAAAACTCGGAAAAATATGGTTTCTTAAATAATATGCAATTTATTCTCTTAATTAATCAAAAAAGGTTAACTGAAATAAAACGCGAAATAAAATAACCTACTTCTAAAAAGAAAATGAATATTGAATTTAAATCAATACATTTTCATGTTATTATAATGGTTTATTTTTTATAAAGGAGGAATTTTCCAGAGTAATAAAAATAGTAATAATATGTAGCCGGGACGAAAAATACATTGTTTTTGTGTACAGTTATGTAAAATCAGTTGTTACTGTAATTACATATAATTTATGCATAGTTATGTTCTTAACAATCATGCTTGTGTTTTACGTAATGTTCCATTTATTCGTTCACGGTTTAGGTTTTTAACATGACTCCACCTTTGAAAATAGTACAATAAAGTATTCATTGAAATTTTACTTACTATTCTTTGGAGCTCAACTTTTTAAACAAAAATTTTCAAATTAATATAACATTTTTGCTGTCTAAATATTTCATGTCATATAGGTATAAGAAATCGTACTTACATTAAAATAAAAATGATAAATTTGTTCACCCATATTTTATTGTTGGTAAGGAATTTTAATTATTGGAAAATTTATCATGATTATTATATTAA